AGCATCTGTAGTACCAGGTACTCAGGAGGCTGAGGCAGGAGAATCGCTTGAACCCAGGAGGCAGAGGTTGCAGTGAGCCGAAATTGCGCCACTGCACTCCATCCTGGGAAGGTGAGTGGGACTCCGTCTCAAAAAAAATAAAAAAATAAATAATAATAATAATAATAATAATAATAATTAGCTGGGTACGATGGCAGGTGCTTACAATCCCAGCTACTGAGGAAGCTGAGACGGGGGAATTGCTTGAACTTGGGAGACAGTGGTTACAGTTAGCCAAGATCACACTACTGCACTCCAGCCTGGGAAGGTGAGTGAGACTCTGTCTAAAAAAAAAAATAAATAAAAGCAGCTTGGTTTTGAAGATGTAAGTTAGGAAAATCTATTAGTTTCAGAAGCTTCAAAGGTCTGGGAGAAAGGGATATTGACAAAGAGGAAAAGGATTTTGTGTGAATTGAGGAAGTTAACTCATTAGTGTAGTTTTTCTTTATTTCTTTTTTTACTGAGGAAAAGAGAACAAAGGGATAAGATTGGAGTAGTCTTTCAGTCATTCTTTTTAGGATTGGTAGCTAAAAGGCTGAGTGAAATATGATTTAAAAGCTTTATTGGCCAGGCACAGTGGCTGACCCCTGTAATCCCAGCACTTTGGGATGCTGAGGCAGGTGGATCACCTTAAGTCAGGAGTTGAAGACCAGCCTGACCAACATGGTGAAACTCTGTCTCTACTAAAAATACAAAATTAGCTGGGTGTGGTGGCATTTGCCTGTAATCCTAGATACTTGGGAGGCTGAGGCAGGACAATTGCTTGAACCCAGGAGGTGGAGATTGCAGTGAGCCAAGATCCCACCATTGCACTCTAGCCTGGGCAATGAGCAAAACTCCCATCTCTCACACACACACAAAGCTTTATCATTTATTTTGTGGCCCTGTCTTATGGTTCAGAGGCCTAAAAGTTTTTTGAAAGCAAATTTTCTAGAGGCTAGAAGTGTTCATTATAGCCATGTTTTTGAGGGTGAGGATTACCTCAAAGGGCATGCCTTGTCTCATTGTTCTTATTGCTGAGCTACTGAAACCTAGAGTCTGACTCACACAGTATGACACTCATTTCCGTTTTCTTGGTAGAATTTGTGTGGTCATTCATGTTTTAGGAACTACAGTCCTCTTAGTTCCTCTTTATTTATCGAGATGAAGTCTGGCTCTGTTGCCAGGCTGGAGTGCAGTGGCACCATCTCAGCTCACTGCAAGTTCCAGCTCCCTGGTTCAAGCAATTCTTCTGCCACAGCCTCCTGAGTAGCTGGGATTACAGGCGCCCACCACCACACCCAGCTAATTTTTCTATTTTTAGTAGAGATGGGATTTCACAATGTTGGCCAGTATGGTCTCGATCTCCTGACCTTGTGATCTGCCCATCTCGGCCTTCTACAGTGCTGGGATTACAGGTCTGAGCCACCATGCCTGGCCCTCAATTCCCACTTGGCTCACTGCAGCTTGGACCTCCCTGGGCTCAGGTGATCTTACTGCCTAAGCCCCCTCAGTAGCTGGGAGTACCTGCATCACCATGTCTGGCTAACTTTTGTATTTTTGGAGAGATGGGATTTCGCCATGTTGCCCAGCTGGTCTCAAATTCCTGGACTCAAGGGATCTCTCCTGCCTGAGCTTCCCAAAGTGCTGGGATTATATGTGTGAGTCGCCATTGCCTGGCCATAAACAGAGTTTTTTATTTTTTATTTTTTTGAAACAGAGTTTTGCGGTTGTTGCCCAGGCTGAAGTGCAGTGATGCACTCTTGGCTCACTGCAACCTCCACCTCCTGGGTTCAAGCGATTCTTTTGTCTCAGCTTCCTGAGTAGCTGGGAGTATAGGTGTGCACCATCACGCCTGGCTAATTTTTTGTATTTTTAGCAGAGATGCGGTTTCACCATGCTGGCCAGGCTGGTCTCCAACTCCTGACCTCAGGTGATCCGCCCACCTTGGCTGGCCTCCCAAAGTGCTGGGATTACAGGCGTGAGCCACTGCTCCCTGCCCATAAAGAGAGTTTTAAACAATGCGTATAGTATGATTTTAGTGGGGTGGCCACTTACATGTACGTGTGCACATGTATCTCAATGAAAATGGCTTCCTACCTTTAGCCTTAGCAATGCTGCATGTAGGGAATAAGCATTTAAATGATGGTGTCTTGGCTAACAATGTGAACTCTGGAGCCAAACTCTCCAAAATTATATCCTGAATCTGGCACTAGCTAGGTCTGGAGCCATTAATTAGTTATTTAACCTCTCTTGATGATTTCTTTATCTGTAAAATGGGGGTAATGAAACATCTGCCTCATTGAGTGGTTGGGAGCATCAAATAGGTTAGTAGGTCTGGTGTGGTGGCTCATACCCGTAATCCCAGCACTTTGAGAAGCTGAGGCATGAGTATGGCTTGAGCCCAGGAGTTTGAGACCAGCCTGGGCAAATAGTGAGATCCCGTCGCTACGAAAAATAAAAAACAATTAGTTGGGTGTGGTGGTACAAGCCTGTGGTCCTATCTACACAGGAGGCTGAGGTGGGAGGATCACTTGAGCCTAGGAGGTTGAGTCTGTAGTGAGTTGTGATCATATCACTGTACTCCAGTCTGGACCGCAGAGTAAGATCCCGTCTCAGGGGGAAAAAGGGGATTAGTAGACAGAAAGTACTTATGGCTCAGAGTAAGTGTTCTGTGAATGTTGGCTGTTTTTAAATCTTGTATTTAATACCTCTTTGGTGAGAAGTACACTGCTTTGCTTGGATTACCATTTGTGTGTAGAGAGATGTTCTTACTAGAACCATGTCTCCTTGTCACATGATTATGTACAGTGTGAGCTTTATTAATACTCTGTCAGCATTTGAGGTTGGAACATAAGTGCATGGCTATACCCAGTGGAATCTAGAAAGAGAGAGAATCCTAAGAACCGTAGCAACTGTTGCTATTTGTGTACTGAGTAGCAGCTGTCCGAGACAGATTTATTTTTTAATCCTGATCTCACTGATAGCCTGGGATGTGGTCTTGCCTCAAAGGAGTGGATTGGTTTAGATGTCCAGTCTTTGAGGAGATTTCATGACCACATGCCATAAAGATTCATGTGAAATTTGAGGAGCTAAAGCTTTGTGTGTATGAGTGAGGGAGAAAGATTAAGTTTTAGCATTCATAGTCAGTCCCTGAAGTATGATGTGGCTGGATTAATGATGTGAGAAATCACTCTTAATGTGGGCAGTGAGACTTCATGCATTTCAGTCAAAAAAACAATTTTGCTGTAATGTGGTTCATTTCCAAATTTTGGCTGCAAACTATCCTAGGGAGGATAAAAAAACAATATTTACTGAGTGCCTACTTTATGCCAGGGTCTGTTCTGAATACTGGCAAACACGATTAATTACACTCTAAAATAAACTTAGTCTGTGATTCCACTGTATACTACATTACGTACATACACACACATACACATTTACAAACTTACCAACCGTAGATTTTAGAAATAATAGAGTTGATCCTGAGGGGAGGCAACTCCTGTAAAATTTTTTAAAAAATTTAAAAAAGGAAGGGACATTATTATTTGTTGTGAGGGCTTCATTACCAAATGCTTTTCTGAAGTAGAAAGTAGGATATTTAAAAAGAGCTTCTTTCAAATAGTGGTTGGATTCATTCAATAATTTTCTGATTTTCACTTCTTTTTTTTCTTGAGATGAAGTCTCACTCTGTTGCCCAGGCTAACTGCAAATTCTGCCTCCCGGGTTCAAGTGATTCTCGTGCCTCAGCCTCTAGAGTAGCTGGGATTACAGGCACGTACCACTATGCCTGGCTGACTTTTGTATTTTTAGTATAGACGGGGTTTAATCATGTTCACCAGGCTGGTCTCCAACTCCTGACCTCAAGTCATCCACCTGTCTTGGCATCCCAAGTGCTGGGTTTTATAGTATGGTGTGAGCCACTGCGCCCAGCTCCGTTTCCGAAGTGTTCCAATATTTCAATGCTTAACAGATGCCTTGCAACAGTAATATGGGCCAGGTGTGGTGGCTCATGCCTATAATCCCAGCACTTTGGGAGGCCGACAAGGGTGGATCAGCTGAGGTCAGGTGTTCGAGACCAGCCTGGCCAACATGGGAAACCCTGTCTCTACTAAAAATACAAAAATTATCTGGGCCTGGTGGTGGGTGCCTGTAATCCCAGCTACTCAGGAGACCGAGGCAGGAGAATTTCTTGAGCCTGGGAGGTGGAGGTTGCAGTGAGCTGAGATCGCACCACTGCACTCCAGCCTGGGGAATAGAGTGAGACTGTCTCCAGAAAGAATAGAAATAGTAATGTGGTTCATTTCCAAATTTTGGCTGCTAACTTAGGGAGGAGAGACGTTATCACAGAATATTTACTGAGCATCTGCTTTATATCAGGGTCTATTCTGAATACTGTTAACACAGTTAATACTGTTGGTCTGGTTTTTCAAGTTCCATGTATAAATTACCTCTTAAAACTGTGATTATTTTTTTCCCTTCCTCCCTTCCTCCCTCCCTCCCTTCTTCCCTTCCTCCCTCCTTTCCTTCCTTCCTTCCCTCCTTCCCTCCTTCCTTCCTTCCTTCCTACAGGATCTCAAAATAGGCTGGACTGCAATGGGTCTATAATAGCTAACTACAACTTGAAACTTGCAGACTCAAGCGATCCTCCCACCTCAGCTTCCTAAGTAGCTAGGATTGCAGGCGTGTGCCGCCAGGCTTGGATAGTTTTTTTTGCATTTTTTTGTAGAGACGGGGGTTCACCGTGTTGCCCAGGGTGATCTTGAACTCCTGACCTCAAGTGATCTGCCTGCCTCGGACTCCCAAAGTGCTGAGATGACAGGCATGAGCCACTGAGCCCAGCCCACTGATTTTCAATTGCCCTATCCAGATTTAGTGGTATGAATTTACTGATTGGGGCGTTTTGAACACACAGAATAACATGTTTAACTAAAGAACTTGTAATTGGGTGACTTATAAAATGAAACATTTTTATTTTCTAGGTATTATTAACCCAAAGAATCCCAAGGAAGCTCCAAAGTCCTTCAGCTTCGACTATTCCTACTGGTCTCATACCTCAGTGAGTACCCTCATTCCTCAGCACTGCCAGCTCCTGCCTCCTTTCCTGTTTCCTTGACAATTTGTCTTTTCTCTTAGCTGAGCAGGTCCAAGTTTTGTTTTTTAAGTGTTGTCTACCATAAGTTCATTCTTTGATATAGTAATGTAGCATTTTCATTCTTAGAAAGTATTTTGACTGATGAAAAGTTTATGCACACATACATATGTAAATATACATACAGAACATATTTTAGCTTACACCAAATTTATGCTGAACCTACACTAAATTTATACTGATTTTAGACATCCCTTGAGGATTTATTTATCAGTATCTTAGGATCCTCATTACCAACATTGTTGTCTATTGATCTTAGGAAATGCCAAATTATTATTATTATTATTTTGAGACGGAGTTTCATTCTGTTGCCCAGGTCAGAGTACAGTGGCACCATCTCTGCTCACTGCAACCTCTGCCTCCCAGGTTTAAGTGATTCTCCTGCCTCAGCCTCCCAAGTAGCTGGAATTACAGGTGCATGCCAGCATGCCTGGCTAAGTTTTGTATTTTTAGTAGAGACAGGGTTTCACCATGTTGGCCAGGCTGATCTCAAACTCGTGACCTCAAGTGATCCACCTGTGTCAGCCTCCCAAAGTGCTGGGATTACAGGCATGAGCCACCATGCCTGGCTAAAAATGTCAAATTAAAATTGCTTAGAGTACTGTTAATTTTAAGTGGAATTTTGAGGGAATGACCAGCAAGATTGGAATGACCACCATGAAATTGGTGATTTTTTTTTTTTTTTTTTTTTTGAGACCCAGTCTCGCTCTGTCACCCGGGCTGGAGTGCAGTGGGGCAATCTTGGCTCACTGCAACCTCTACTTCCTGGGTTTAAGCGATTCTCCTGCCTCAGCCTCCCGACCAGCTGGGACTACAGGCACCCAGCTAATTTTTCTGTTTTTAGTAGAGACGGGGTTTCACCATATTGGCCAGGCTGGTCTCGAACTCCTGACCTCTCCACCTGCCTCAGCCTCCCAAAATGCTGAGATTATAGGCATGAGTGACTGTGCCCGGCCAATTGTTTTTTTGTTTTTGTTTTTTTTGGAGACAGAGTCTCCATCACCAGGTGCCAGGCTGGAGTGCAGTGGCACGACCCTGGCTTACTGCAACCTCAGCCTCCTGGGTTCAAGCAATTCTCCTGCCTCAGCCTCCCGAGTAGCTGGGACTATAGGCGCACGCCACTGCGCCCAGCTAATTTTTTTCTATTTTTAGTAGAGACGGAGTTTCACCATGTTGGCCAGGATGGTCTCGATCTGTTGACCTCGTGATCCGCCCATCTCAGCCTCCCAAAGTGCTGGGATTATAGGCATGAGCCACCGCGCCTGGCCCCCAATTGTTTTTTTAATTGTAGTAAGGCAATGTGAGTTTTGAACATTTTAAAAGATGAAACCCTGTTTCTACTAAAAATACCAAAAAGGAAAAAATTAGTGGCTAGGTGCAGTGGTTCATGTTGTAATCCAGCACTTTGGGAGACTGAGGTGGGCAGATCACCTTAGGTCAGGAGTTTGAGACCAGCCTGGCCAACATGGTAAAACCCCATCTCTACTAAAAATAGAAAAATTAGCCAGGCATGGTGGTGGGCACCTGCAATCCCAGCTACTTAGGAAGCTGAAACAGGAGAATCACCTGAACCCCAGAGGCAGAGGTTGCAGTGAGTCAGGATTGTGCCGGTGAACACCAGCCTAGGTAACAAAGAGTGAAACTCCGTCTCAAAAAAAAAAAAAAGAAAAGAAAATTAACTGGGCGTGGTGGCAGGTGCCTGTAATCCCAGCTACTTGGGAGGCTGGGGCAGGAGAATTGCTTGAACCCAGGAGGTGGAGGTTGCAGTGAACCAAGGTTGCACCACTGTACTCCAGCCTGGGTGACAAAGCAAGATTCTATCTCAAAAATGAATGAATGAATGAAAGAGGTTGCAGATCCACACGGGAAACAAAAGATTACCAATGTCTAGGAAAATGGAGAGTAGGACCCTTCCTGGTATCCTTACTCAGTGTGGAACCCCAAATGTTCTTCTTGTTAGGGATTGTTCCTGGAGTTTACTTCTGCATGATTCATCTCTTTGTTAGGTGTTTTTGGTTTTGTTTTTCCTTTTTTTTTTTGACTGAGTCTCGCCCTGTTGCCCAGGATGGAGTACAGTGGCGCAATCTCGGCTCACTGCATCTCCACCTCCCTGGTTCAAGCGATTCTCCTGCCTCAGCTTCCTGAGTAGCTGGGATTATAGGCGTTGTGTCACCACGCCTGGCTAGTTTTTCTGTATTTTTAGTAGAGATGAGGTTTTGTCCTGTTGGCCAGGCTGGTCTCAAACTCCTGTCCTCAAGTCATCTATCTGCCTCAGCCTCCCAAAGTGATGGGATTACAGGCATGAGCCACCGTGCCCAGCCCTGGGGAATAGATGTTTTTTAACTATTGACAAAGCCTAATTGTCAAGGGAAGGGACTGAGAAGGAGAATGGAAATACTCTTCCCTGAAAGCAGTGTTTATTGAGAAATAGTTCTACTAGCTGGAGTGAGTTCAAAGAAGTATTTTATATGTGAACTTGACCCTTGGTCTTTTATTCTCATTTTCCACTTAAGAATATCTTGGCTTTGTGAATGAAAGAGTGATACTTTTAAGGTTATAGAAAATGAAATGAAATTATGCCAGATAATTTTATGTAGATATTTTTAAGTATGGCTGACCTGGATGACTCTAATAGTGCTTACGTTTGTGAGTGTGTGTGTGTGTGTGTGTGCGCGTGTGCATGTCCATGTATTTAATGAGAAAAGTAAATTTGTGTAGAGGGAGCTTAAAAAATGTGAAGTGAGTTTTAGATGACTGTTCTGATTCCAGACCCTTTTGTTTATTATGGAAGCTATCAAGTAAGTATAGGAAGAAATATCAATAAAAGGTCATTTATTTTTCCTTTCACTCTTTACAGCCTGAAGATCCCTGCTTTGCATCTCAAAACCGTGTGTACAATGACATTGGAAAGGAAATGCTCTTACATGCCTTCGAGGGATATAATGTTTGTATTTTTGCCTATGGGCAGACTGGTGCTGGAAAATCTTACACAATGATGGGTAAACAAGAAGAAAGCCAGGCTGGCATCATTCCACAGGTAAAAAACAAAACAACAGTCTTCTGCTCATTATTGCTGTTAGTCTTTAATTGCTTTAACAGTTATTTTTATTTGGTGAATGTTTATGTAGGGATTATTTTATGTCAGGCACAAAGGTGACTAACCCATTCTTTTCCCTGAGAGGAACTTACAGTTGAATGGGAAAGACCGACACGTACGCGTCTGTTGTTAAAGGTGGGAAAGTCAGTGTTTTGTAATGATTTTGCCATATATCCAAGGCGATATTATTGTATTGTTTGAAAAGTGGTACCAGCTTGTTAAAGCTCAGTTCTAAGTCCTAGGGACACCTGGGGAATATTGTTGATCTGATTTTTTCCCAAATTCTATGTATGGATCACCTCTCAAAAATGTGATTATTCTGGTGTTTTTTGTTTGTTTTTTTTTTTATAGCTTATTTGGAGATATTTTCATTTTATTTTCCTAATTTAATACTATTACTTTAGACATCAAACACTCTGAGATTCTCTTTCTTTTTTTAGAGCAGTTAGTATTATTGTATTTGATCTTTTATTGTTTGGGAGTGAAGAAGAGTTCTGACATAGATATTTATTTTTATTTTCATTATTTGTTTCACTTAGGATTTAACGGTGAAAGACATAAGTGTTTACAAATAACTTCGTTATTTACTTGTTTATTTGAGACAGGGTCTCACTCTGGTGACCAGGCTGGAGTGCAGTGGTGTGATCATGGCTCACTGAGGCCTTGACCTTCGAGGTTCAAGTGATCCTCCTGCCTCAGCCTCCAGAGTAGCTGGGACTATAGTCCTGTGCCACCATACCTAGATAATTTAAAAAATATTTTTGTAGAGACAGTCTTACAACATTTCCCAGACTGGTCTCAAACTCCTGGGCTCAAGTAATCTTGCTACCTTGACTTCCCAAAGTGCTGGGATTATAGGCATGAGCCACCACCTGGGACCTAAAAACTTAAAACAAAAAAAAAAGAAAAGAAAAGGAAAAAAAGATTAAATGAGAAGATTGCATTTAAAATTTTCCTTTTACAGTCATGCGTCTCTTAAGGATGGGGATACATTTTAAGAAATGCATCACTAGTCATTAGGTGCTTTTGTCGTTGTACAAACATCATAGAGTGTATTTACACAAACCCTGAAAGGTATAAACTACTCCACACCTAGACTACATTGTATAGCCTGTTGCTCCAAGGCTACAAACCTGTATAGCATGTTACTGTACTAAATACTATAGGCAGTTGTAATAGAATGTAAGTATTTTTGTACCTATACATATCTAAACAGAGAAAAGTACAGTAACAATATGATTAAAAAAAAAAAAAAAGACTTAAAATGGCACACCTGTGTAGGGCTCTTACCATGGAGTTGCAGGACTGGAAGTTGCTCTGGGTGAGCCAATGAGTGAGTGGTGAGTGAATGTGAAGGCCTAGGACATTGTAAGACATTGTAGACTTTATAAATGCTGCACACTTAGGCTACACTAAATTTACTTTTAAAAACAGTTTCCTTTCATTAATAAATTAACCTTAGTTAAATTATTATAACTTTTCTACTTTATAAGCTTTTAAATTGTTTAAACTTTCTGAGCCTTTTATGATAACTCTTAGTTTAAAACACAAACAGGCCCAACACGGTGACTCATGCTGGCAATCCCAGCACTTCAGGAGGCTGAGGCGGGGTGAATCACCTGAGGTCAGGAGTTCGAGACTAGCCTGACTAACATGGTGAAACCCTGTCTCTACTAAAAATACAAAAAATTAGCTGGGCATGGTGGCACATGCCTGTAATCCCAACTTAATTCGGGAGGCTGAGGCAGGATAATCAGTTGAACCTGGGAGATGGAGGTTGCAGTGAGTGGTGCCATTATACTTGAGCCTGGGCAACAAGAGTGAAACTCCGTCTCAGAAAAACAAAAATAAACACAAACACATTGTACAGCTCTACAAAAGTATTTTCTTTCTTGATAACCTCATTCTATAAGCTTTTTTGTATTTTTAAATTTTTTTCTTTTTTCCTCGAGACAGAGTCTTGCTTTGTCGCCCAGGCTGGAGTGTAGTGGTGCAGTCTCACAATCTCAGCTCACTGCAACCTCTGCCTCCTGGGTTCAATCAGTTCTTGTGCCTCAGCCTCCCAAGTATCTGGGACTACAGACACATACCACTACATCTTGCTAATTTTTGTATTTTTAGTAGAGATGGGTTTTGCAATGTTGGCTAGACAGGTTTTGAACTCTGGCCTCAAGTGATCTGCCTGCCTTTGCCTCCCAAAATGCTGACATTACAGGCATGACCAATTGTACCCGAGCAATTTTTTTTTTTTTTTTTTTTTTGAGATAGAGTTTTGTTCTTTCTGCCCAGGCTGGAGTCAGTGGCACGATCTTGGTTCACTGCAACCTCCGCCTCCCAGATTGAAGCGATTCTCTTGCCCTCAGCCTCCAGGGTAGCTGGGACTACAGGTGCGCATCACCACGTCCAGCTAATTTTTGTATTTTTAGTAGAAACAGGGTTTTGCCATTTTGGCCAAGATGTTCTGGATCTTCTGACCTTGTGATCTGCTTGCCTCAGCCTCTCAAAATGCAGGGATTACAGGTGTGAGCCACTGCACCCAACCACATTTTAAATTTTTTTAAAAAAATTGTAGGCCATGCACGGTGGCTCAGCCTGTAATCCCAGCGCTTTGGGAGGCTGAGGCAGGTAGAGCAAGAGGTCAAGAGATGGAGACCATCCTGGCCAACATGGTGAAACCCCATCTCTACAAAAAATACAAAAATTAGCTGGGCGTGGTGACACACGCCTGTAGTCCTAGCTACTCTGGAGGGTGAGGCAGGGGAATCACTTGAACCCGGGAGGCGGAGGTTGCATTGAGCTGAGATTGCGCCACTGCGCTCCAGCCTGGGTGACAGAGCGAGAACCCGGCTCTAAATATAAATAAATAAATAAATAAATAAATAAATCTTTTTTCTTTAAAACTAAGACACATATTTATTTATTTATTTTTTGAGATGGAGTCTTGATCTGTCACCCAGGCTGGAGTGCAGTGTCACAATCTTGACTCACTGCAACCTCCACCTCCGGAGTTCAAGCGATTCTCCTGCCTCAGCCTCCTGAGTAGCTGGGACTACAGGCATGTGCCACCATGTGCAGGGGTTTCACCATGTTGGCCAGGGTGGTCTCGATCTCTTGACCTCTTGATCTGCCCACCTCGGCCTCCCAAAGTGCTGGGATTACAGATGTGGACCACTGCACCCAGCCTAAGACACATGTTTATTAGTCTAGGCCTACACAGTATCAGGATCATCAAGCTATCACTAGGTGATAGGAATTTTTCAGCTTCCTTATAATCTTATGGGGACCACTATCCTGTATGCAATCCATTGTTGACTGAAACATGGTTATGCAGCATATGACTGACTTTATTCAAAGTATTAATCATATCTTGGTGTTTATGATATATATTTTGAGACAGAATGAGAAAGGACGTCTGGCTAATTCATTGAGCTTGTGTGGATAACTTAGTACTCCTCTCATTTGTTCTATTCATGCCTCTCTTATTCTGCTTCCCTAGTTATGTGAAGAACTATTTGAAAAAATAAATGACAACTGTAATGAAGAAATGTCTTACTCTGTAGAGGTGAGTACAGCCATGAGTTGACACCAGAGGCCCTTGTTTTACATTCCCTCAAGCATGACTTTTAAATGGCTCCGAATTATGACTGTGGTATGGATCACTTTAACTATTCCTTCAGTTTTGTTCTTTTAGGCTATTTTTGGGTTTTGGGTATAATGAATCATGTCATAATTTAATCTTTTTTTTTGCTGGTGGGTGGGCATTGGGGGACAGGGTCTCACTTGGTTGCTCAGGCCCTGGAGTACAGTGGCATGATTATAGCTCACTGCAGCCTTGACTTTCTGGGCCTAAGTGATCCTACCTCAGCCTCTCGTAGCGAGGACTATGGTGTGTGCCACCACCACCCCTGGATAATTGATTTTTTTTGGTAGAAACAGAGTTTCCCTGTGTTGCCCAAGTTGGTATTGAACTCTTGGGCTCAAGCAGTCTTCCTTCCTCTAACTCTGAAGGTACTGGGAGTACAGTGTGAGCCACTGAACCCAACCACAGTTAAGTCTTTGTTCATAAGTGTATGCATTTATTTTCTGTTATTATCTTTTGTATGTTTCTTGGTGTTTAAATAATACATTTGAATTGCCAGTTGCCTTTTTAGAAAGTAAGACTGTGTAACAGTTTTCAGTCATACCAGGAGAGTGCAAGCACCATTGTGCCTTTGCCAACATTTAGTATTTTCAATTTTTTATCTTTGGTAATTTGATAATATAAGTATTCTCTTATTTAAATTTGAATTTCTTTGATTATTAGTGTGGTTCACAATCTTGTAAATTATGGGTTGCCTTTACATTTTGGGTTCACGATGTTTTTCTGATTTATTTGTGGGAACTCTCCTCCTTTAATACTTTTTTTTTTTTTATTTTTTTTCTTTAAAAAAGTGATGATACACAGGTTTCCAGCTCCTAGGTAATGGCATTTTTTTTTTTTTTTTTTTTTTTTTTTCTCAGACAGAGTCTTGCTCTGTCGCCAGGTGCCAGGCTGGAGTGCAGTGGCGCAATCTTGGCTCACTGCAGTCTCTCTCCTGGGTTCAAGCAATTCTCCTGCCTCAGCCTCCGGAGTAGCTGGGACTGTAGGTGCACGCCACCACGCCTCACTAATTTTTGTATTTTTTAGTAGAGACGGAGTTTCACCATGTTGGCCAGGATGGTCTCAATCTCTCAACCTTATGATCTGCCCACCTTGACCTCCCAAAGTGCTGGGATTACAGGTGTGAGCCACTGCACCCGGTCTAATATTGTTAATAATGGTTTTTGGCAGGCATAGGTTTTAAATATATATAATCAAATCTCCTCCCCTTCCTACTTTTTTAATTGCTAATAAAAACTTGGAAAGGGCCGGGTGTGGTGGCTCAAGCCTGTGGTCCCAGCACTTTGGGAGGCCGAGGCGGGTGGATCACGAAGTCAGGAGATCAAGACCATGCTGGTCAACATGGTGAAACCCTGTCTCTACTAAAAATACAAGAAAATCAGCTGGGCATGGTGGTGCGTGCCTGTAGTCCCAGCTACTCGGAAGGCTTAGGCGGGAGAATTGCCTGAACCCGGGAGGCGGAGGTTGCGGTGAGCCGAGATTGCGCCATTGCACTCCAGCCTGGGTAACGAGAGCGAGACTCCGTCTCAAAAACAAAACAAAACAAAACAAAAAAAACTTGGAAAGTAATTATCCGTCCTCTGTTTACCCTGGCTCTTTCATGAAGTCTATAGAATTACATTTATTTGATAAGCATTCCCTCTGTTTTGTATGTGCTTTAAGAAGCTGTTTTGAGGCCTGGCGTGGTGGCTCACGCTATAATCCCAGCTCTTTGGAAGGCAAGTGGATCATTTGAGGCCAGGAGTTTGAGACCAGACTGGCCAACATGGCAAAACCCTGTCTCTACTAAAAGTACAAAAAATTAGCTGGATGTCGGGGTGCACACCTGTAATCCCAGCTACTCGGGTGGCTGAGGCATGAGCAATTGCTTGAACCCAGGAGGCAGAGGTTGCAGTGAGCCAAGATCATGCCACTGCAACCCAGCCTGAGTGACAGAGCAAGAGTGTCTCAATAAAAAAAAAAAAGAAGCTGCTGTTTCTCTCTCTCTTCCTCTCTCTCTAACCACTCCCCATACCTTTTTTGGTATTTACTTTCATAGTAACTGAAATATTAAAGTGTTCTGTTACCTTGAGTCTGTTCTGAAAAAAATAGCTGCCTTTTAAGCAATCTCACGATTTTTTTTTTTTTTGTTATACTTTGTGATTCTCTGTAGGCTTACAGCATTTAATTCCTAGTTAATTGACTTAATTGCTTTGGGTTTTTTTCTTTACCTTTAAGATGTTGCATAAATGTATAAATTCTAAGGAATTCTGCCTTGTGAACTGCTGCTCTAGGCATATTTTGTGTTAAAATAAATTTTCTGAATAGCTTGTTTCATAGTTATTCTTTTTTGAATCAGGTGAATTTTTGAGCTTACAGGTAATAAAAGAGGATGCCCTTTTCTTTCATATTAGAGTTCCCAGGCTTACTTGGAGTGGAGCATAGATTCCTAGTTGACACTGGTTTTTTGCCACATTTGTGGGACCTCTCTACCTGCCTCTTCTGCTTCCTTCTCTGTTTACTTTGCTCCACCCATACGGGCTTTTTTGCTGTTTCAAGAACATACCAGAAACATTCCTGCTTCAAAGCCTCAACATTGACTTTTCCTCCTGCCTCTAATGTTCTTCACTTGGATGTCATTTTGACTAAGTTTTTCACATTCAAGTCTCCTTAAATCTCATTCTCTCAATGAGACTTACCTTGACCACTTTATTTAATACTGTACCTTGCCCTTCACCCCACATTCTGAGCTCTGTTGCCCTGTTCTAATTTCTTTTTTCTATTTTCAGCATGTTCTAACATGCTTTCTCAGTTACCTATTTTTTATGTTTGTTGTTGATATCAATGTCCCTTGCTAGAAGCATAAGCTCACTGGGGCAGGGTCCTTTGTCTGTTTCATTTAGTGATGGGTACCAATTGCCTAGAATAGTGCCTGTAAGAGAAGGGTGCTCAGTGAGTTGAATCTGCCAGGTGGCATCTGGCGTGGTTGGTGCATAAGTAAAAGAAATAAATGATGATGGCCACATGTACCCCAGAACTTTAAGTATAAGTTAAAAAAATTAAACAAAGGAATGATAATGATGCCTTTGGATGGATTCACATATCAGAGAATAAGGAATGGAGCACATGAACTTTTACCCAGATTCTTTGGGTTCTCTTTGTCTCACATTTGTGTGAAAAGGGACGAGTGTTCCAAAAGATGTAATATATTCCGGGGATTCAGGATTCTATGTACAAATTTAAGGACATAGCAGTGATTGAAGAGTCATCTCAGTTTCTAGGATGACTTGCTGTCAGAAGAATATTTGTTTTTCTGTTATTTTACTCTCAGATTAATTACTTTATCTTTCAAGGTTGCCTTTTTTTTTTTTTTTTTTTTTTTTTTTTTTTTTTTTTTTGAGACAGAGTCTTGTTCTGTTGCTCAGACTGGAGTGTAGTGGCTTGGTCTCAGCTCACTGCAACCTCCACTTCCCAGGTTCAATTGATTTCTCCTGCTACAGCCTCCCACATAGCTAGAGTTATAGGCGCCCACCACCATGCCTGGCTAATTTTTTGTAGTTTTAGTAGAGATGGGGTTTCACCATGTTGGCCAGGCTGGTCTCCAACTCCTGACCTTGTGATCTGCCTACCTCGGCCTCCCAAAGTGCTGGGATTACAGGCATGAGCCACCATGCCTGGCCTTTTTTTTTTTTTTTTTTTTTTTGGACAAGGTCTTGCTCTGTTACCCAGGCTGCAGTACAGTGGTGCAAACAGGGCTCACTGCAGCCTTGACCTCCTGGGCTCAGTGATCTTCCTGCCTCAGCCTCCTGAGTAATCTGAGCCATGCATTATGGCACAGGCATGTGCCATAATGCATGGCTCCCAAAATACTGGGCTTACAGGCATGAGCAACTGCATCTGGCCAAGTTCTCAAAGTTTTTTTTTAAGACAGTCTCGCTCTGGCCAGGCGCAGTGGCTCACGCCTGTAATCCCAGGACTTTGGGAGGCCAAGGCGGGCAGATCACGAGGTCAAGAGATTGAGACCATCCTGGCCAACGTGGTGAAACCCCGTCTCTACTAAAAATACAAAAAAATTAACTGGGCGTGGTGGCACGCGCCTGTGGTCCCAGCTACTCAGGAGGCTGAGGCAGGAGAATTTCTTGAACCCGGGAGGCAGAGGTTGCAGTGGGCCAAGGTCACACCACTGCACTCCAGCCTGGCACCTGGTGACAGAGTGAGACTGTCTCAAAAAAAAAAGTCTTGCTCTACTGCCAGGCGCCAGGCTGGAGTGCAGTAGCACGATCTTGGCTCACTGCAACCTCTGCCTCCTGGGTTCAAGCAGTTCCCCTGTCTCAGCCTCCCGAGTAGCTGGATCTACAGGTGCGTGCCACCACACCTAGCTAATATTTGTATTTTAGTAGAGACAGGGTTTCACCATGTTGGCCAGGATGGTCTCGATCTCTTGACCTTATGATCCTCCTGCCTTGGCCTCCCAAAGTGCTGGGATTACAGATGTGAGTCACCACGCCCGGCCCAAGTTCTCAATTTTTTAAAACTGATTTTATTATTATTATTATTATTTTTTTTTTTTTTTTTGAGACGGAGTTTCGCTCTTGTTACCCAGGCTGGAGTGCAATGGCGCGATCTCGGCTTACCGCAACCTCCGCCTCCTGGGTTCAGGCAATTCTCCTGCCTCAGCCTCCTGAGTAGCTGGGATTACAGGCACGCACCACCGTGCCCAGCTAATTTTTTGTATTTTTAGTAGAGACGGGGTTTCACCATGTTGACCAGGATGGTCTCAATCTCTCGACCTTGTGATCCACCCGCCTCGGCCTCCCAAAGTGCTGGGATTACAGGCTTGAGCCACCGCGCCTGGCCCACGATTTTATTATTTTATCTTATTATTTATTTATTTATTTTTAGAGGCAGGGTCTCACTGTCACCCAGGCTGGAGTGCCGTGGTGTGATCTTGGCTCACTGCATCTCTGACGTTCTGGGCTCAAGTGATCACTTTGGACCACTGGCACACACCACCACATCTGGCTAAGTTTTTGTATTTTTGGTAGAGATGGGGTTTTACCATGTTACCCAGGTTGGTCTGGAACTCCTGAGCTCAAGCAGTCTGCCCACCTTAGCCTCCCAAGGTGCTGGGATTCTAGGCGTGAGCCACCACAACCAGCCTTTAACTGACTTTAAAATACAAAATAAGGCTAGGTGCGGTGGCTCATGCCTATAATCCCTGCATTTCAGGAGGCCGAGATGGGAGGACTGCTTGAGCCCAGGAGTTCAAGAACAGCCCGGGCAATATGGTCAGACCCTGTCTCTACAAAAAAAAAAAAAAAAAAAAAAAAAAAAAATTGAAAATAGCTAGGTATAGTGGCATGTGCTTGTAGTACCAGTTACTCCAGAGGCTGAGGCAGGATTGCTTAAGCCCAGGAAGGCAAGGCTGCATGAGCTGCATTTGAGCCACTGCACCCCAGCCTGGGTGACAGTTTAAGACTCAGTCTCAAAAAATATATAAAAATAAAAATAAAATACAGTATACAAATACAGTCAGAGACTGAATGAAAGAAAATGGTGATAGAAATGGAATTAAAGTTCCATTCCAGATACTCTGAAAACGTGTTTATAGATACTTAAAGTTTAAAAATGCAGGAGCTGTAGTGTATGCTTAAATAACTCCATGATAGAGAAGGATCTGTTTCCTGGGTAGCATCATAATGTGCCCTATTGTGGTGAATTTATCCCAGTTCAGAGCCTTGTTTGCTTAGAAGTCTGATTTTGTAGATACATCAAGAAAAGGACTATCCTTCAAAGTTAAAGACTCTTGAGTAAAGTTCATTTGACTGATGTGATAGAACCAAGTTGTTGGTTTGTTACTTTCCCATGAGAAGTAACTATTACTAAGGCCAGAATGTTGGCAAAACTAATATATTATCTTTCTGTGGACAGACCGCTGTTGGAACCCTGTTGGTTGTTTGATGTGCATGGAATTAGAAGGAGATAAGTTGCTTAGATACATGTTAAGAAATGATAGCCTAATGCATTCATCATCATGATGGGAATGGTCCTGCCAGTGGGACAAGAATTTATGAAGTGTATTGTCTGAGGCTCCTTTCTCCCCCACAAATCTGGGATAGGTCCTGCCACCACCAGCTTTCATGCTGATCTACCCCTTATCCCTTCTGGGGAATACATTGTCCAAGTTGGTAACAGTGTGGTCAGTTTTTTTTTTTTTTTTTTTTTTCCTCCTGAGATGGAGTCTTGCCCCGTCACCCAGGCTGGAGTGCAGTGGTGTGATCTCAGCTCACTGCAACCTCCACCTCCTGGGTTCAAGCAGTTCTCCTGCCTCAGCCTGCCAAGTAGCTGGGATTACAGGCGCGTGCCATGGCACACGCCACCACGCCCAGCTAATTTTTTGTATCTTTAGTAGAGACAGGGTTTCACCATGCTGGCCAGGCTGGTCTCAAAGTCCTGACCTTGTGATCCATCCATCTCAGCCTCCCAGAGTGCTGGGATTACAGGTGTAAGGCACTGCACCTGGCCGGTCAGGCTTAGAGTTAGCCTCACCCTTCTGTTTTGTCTTCTCAGCTCTGTAATACTGATGTTGTTACTTGGTTTTAATTCTAATAGAAGTCTTATTTCCAAGCTCTTAGAGTAACCTCAGTGCAAATCCCAGTTATTGACAACAGTATACATTTTTAAAAACATATTGATAACTGATAAATTGCTGCTAAAATATTTTTTAGCAGTCACTACTTTCCAGAGATAACCTGTTCACCTCTTCCTTACAGGGAAAGTCTGAAGGCTGGTTCTCACCTAGGCAGTGTGATTATCTGTGCATATCGTTAATAGAATAAAAGGGCCTAGAGTTACAGCTTTTCACTTTGTAAAGGTTGCTGATCTCTAATCTTAGAGTTTTTAATAAAAGTTAATTTTTTTTCTGTGTGTGATTACTTTTCCTTTCTTTTCCTTTCCTCTCTTTCCCTCCCTTCTCCTCTTTCTTCTTTCTTCTTTTTGACAGAGTGTCATTCTGTTGCCCAGGCTGAAGTGCAGTGACGATCTCGGCTCACTGCAACCTCCACCTCCTAGTTTCAGGAGATTCTCCTGCCTCAGCCTCCTGAGTAGCTGAGACTACAGGCACGTGCCGCCACACCTGGCTCCTTGTTGTATCTTTAGTAGAGACGGGGTTTCATCATGTTGGCCAGGCTGGTCTGGAACTCGTAGTTGTAGTGATCTCAAGTGATTTGCCGCCCATTGGCCTCCCAATGCGTGGGAGTGCTGGGATTACAGGCATGAGCCATTGCGCCTGGCCTCTGTATTTGATTTCTTTTTCTGTCTTCTAATTCACTTTACTAATTTGTTTATAGGTGAGCTACATGGAAATTTACTGTGAAAGAGTACGAGATTTGCTGAATCCAAAAAACAAGGGTAATTTGCGTGTGCGTGAACACCCACTTCTTGGGCCCTATGTGGAGGATCTGTCCAAGTTGGCAGTTACTTCCTACACAGACATTGCTGATCTCATGGATGCTGGGAACAAAGCCAGGTATGGTAGGAAATAGGAACAGGACTGAGGTCTTTTGCATGTTTTGAGGCCCTTTGTTCCCAGTTAAGGGTTTGAGGCCACATTCATACCTGTGAAAGTTGCTTTAATTGTGGAGTCCTCTGACCCTTTGGCTGTGCTGTAACAAGGGCTTCAGCATTTTAAGTACCTTTCTTCTCATCTAAGCAATGCATTGCTAAAACATGTTAGAGCTCTGGTTAAGTTTTACTGTTAGGTTTTGATCAAGTTGTGGTAAAATGTTAGTTATGTATATATGTGGCTATGGTGGTAATTGATTCTGGAATAAATGAATAGTAATAAAGAATAAAAATTAAATGCTTCATTGATTTCTAAAGGGATAGCTGGAGTATGAAAAATGATTCTGATGGGGTGCCTTTGGAATTGGAGAGTAACTTGATGGGCTCACAAATAAGGCAGTATTGAGAGCAATTGTGTAAGTGACAATCTTGCAATCTGTGAATAAGTTTAAGACTATTGCTTGTGATTGTAATGCTTATAACGTGGAGGCTGCTGTCCATTTCAACTCTCATCTAAGAATTCCATTGTCACGTGGTCACCTTTATGTTTATTTAGGACAGTGGCAGCTACAAACATGAATGAAACAAGTAGCCGTTCCCACGCTGTATTTACAATTGTTTTCACCCAGAAGAAACATGATAATGAGACCAACCTTTCCACTGAGAAGGTAGGAGAACTTCAGTCTTTAGGTTTGAGTTGTGAAGGATGGAGATTTTGAGAAGTCCCTTTTGTTGCCCTCTGCTTTTTGTGAAAGGTTGGGTGTGGGGGGTGCTCTTTCACTTAATGGAGGGTGTTTTATAGCCTCTGCTTATCATTTTTCTTCACCCTACACCAGTTTTCTGTATAGGTTCTTAAATGAAGATGCAAGATAGAGAATATAGTTAAGAAAAAAGCAATCCAGGACTTTGATTGTCAAAAACTACTTAATACAAGACAGTTAAGCAGTCTCACAGGAGAAAATTGTTTCTTTTCTTCTTCTTGACTGGAACCTTTTTATTATTACCTTATTAGCTACCTTTGGTATGCGTATTCTTTTTTATTTTTATTTTTTGAGCTATGATAATGTTATAGTGGGATTAAATGTTTAAGCAAGTGATATGTTTTATTCCTGGAAAATAACTCCACAGCAGTTCTGATGTTCTTCAAATACCTTTGCTTACTGATTTTTCATTTTCTATAGTGGTTAAATGTCACAGACTTTGCAGTTAGATTGCTTGCGTTGAATTCTGATTCTGCCACTTTTCAGCTATATTATCTTGGGCAAACTACTTAACTTCTTTGTTTCTCAGTTTCTGCATCCATAACAGCCTGATAGGATTGTTAAAAGGATTAAATGTTAATGTAGATTAAGTGCATACAATAATGTCTTTCACAGAGTAGCCACTCAATAATGTTAATTGTATTATTATTGTTTTTTTGAGATGGAGTCTCGCTCTGTATACCAGGCTAGAGTGCAGTGGCGCGACCTCACCTAACTGCAACCTCTGCCTCCCAGGCCCGGTTCAAGCAATTCTCCTGCCTCAGCCTCCCGAGTAGTTGGGATTACAGGCACACAGCACCATGCTCAGCTAATTTTTCTGTTTTTAACATGTTGGCCAGGCTGGTCTTGAACTCCTGACCTCATGATCCATCCGCCTTGGCCTCCCAAAGTGCTGGGATTACAGGCATGAGCCACCACACCCAGACTTTTATTATTGTTAATAATAAAAAATTGATGTCAAATACTACTTTGTCTATATTCCTAGGAAGGATGCAACTGGATTTTAAAATTTGAAGTTAGGTTTATTGTGTTGGCAATTATACAAGATCCTTTGCCTTATAAAATGAGTACTTTATATACCACTGTCACTAATTACTAGATCACCTTTTATTTGGTGACTTATTTCTAGCTGAAAATGAGTCTTAAAAATATACTCCTCTTGGGCACAGTGGCTCACACCTGTAATCGCAGCACTTTGGGAGGCTGAGGCAGGTGGATCACCTGAGGTCAGGAGTTCAAGACCAGCCTGGCCAAAATGGTGAAACCCTGTCTCACACAAATACAAAACATTAGCTGGATGTGTTGCTGTGCACCTGTAATCCTAGTTACTCTGGGATTATTCTGAGGCTGAGGCAGGAGAATTGCTTAAACCCAGGAGGTGGAAGTCAGAGTGAGCTGAGGTTGCGCCATTACACTTCAGACTGGGCAAAAAAAAAAAAAAAAAAAGGCCAGACACAGTGGCTCACGCCTGTAATCCCAGCATTTTGGGAGGCTCAGGCAGGTGGATCATGAGGTCAGGAGATAGAAACCATCCTGGCTAACATAGTGAAACACTGTCTCTAATAAAAATACAAAAAAATAGCTGGATGTGGTGGCACGTGCCTATAGTCCCAGCTCCTCAAGAGGCTGAGGCAGGAGAATCACCTGAACCCAGGAGGCAGAGGTTGCAGTGAACTGAGATTGCAACACTACATTCAGGCCTGGGCGACAGAGCAAGACTCTGTCTCAAAAAAAAAAGAAAAGAAAGAAAGAAAGAAAAAGAAATACTCCTTATATAGGTGATCAAATAACTTGCTTAGCCAGAGGTTATAATATTAATGCTATTTATTTGTTATTATTTATCTGAATGGCAGCAAAGAACATTGTATATGGAAGTGTTTTGCCCTTCTCTCATGATGTCGAATCTACAAAATTAATGTTAATCACATAATCATAGCTTTCCTGATAATCCCTTTTGCATACTTTTGTCTAAACTTTCCTGAAGCTTTATTTTTTTACAACTTTATTGAGGTATTATTGAAGTATACAGTAAAGTGCACATATGTAAAGCATAAAATTTCGTCAGTTTTGACATATTTGTATACCTTTGAAACTAGTGCCACAATCCAGAGAATATATATATTTTTTTATAGAGACGGGGTTTCGCCATGTTGGACAGGCTGGTTTTGAACTCCTGACCTCAAGTGATCCGCCCGCCTCGGCCTCCCAAAGTGCTGGGACTATAGGCATGAGCCACCACGCCCAACTGAGAATGTTTATTATTCTCAAAAGTTGCTTCATACTTCTTCTCTGGCTTTCTCTATTCCTCCTTCTATTGCAATCCCTAGGCAATTCAGGACGTGCCTTTTGTCACTATATATTAGTTTACATTTTCTAGAATTTTATGTAAATGGAATCATAGAGTATGTACTGATTTTTTGCCTGGAGTCTTACTTAGCACAGTGATTTTGAGATTCATTTATGCTCCTGTGTTTATCAGTAGTTCCTTTTCATTGCTGATGAGTATTGCGCTGTACATACACACCACAGTTTATTGCTTCAGCTGTTGATGGGCTTTTAAACTGTTTGCAGTTTTTGACAAAGCTGCTGTGAACATTTGCATACAAGTCTTTGTGTGGACATTTGTTTTTTTCTGTTGGTAAATACTTAGGAGTAGGATGATTGAGTCTTACTGTACCTTCTTAAGAAATGTCAAATTATTTTCCGAAGTGATTATGTACCATTTTATATTCCCACCAGCAGTATGTAAGAGTTCCAGTTGCTTAAAGCTTCATTTTTAGTATGCCATTTATTGAGTTGATGAGTTTTATATATTTTTACAACATACTCTAGTAAAATATGTCATGTTTATCCTAAAGATACTTTTCTTGAACTGCGATAATTGCTATGAATTTTGTGCATGCTGGTTTTTTTTTTTTTTTTTTTTTTTTTTTTGAGATGGAGTTTCGCTCTTGTTACCTAGGCTGGAGTGCAATGGCGCGATCTCAGCTCACCACAACCTCCGCCTCCTGGGTTCAGGCAATTCTCCTGCTTCAGCCTCCTGAGTAGCTGGGATTACAGGTCATGCACCACCATGCCTAGCTAATATTTTGTATTTTTAGTGGAGACGGGGTTTCACCATGTTGACCAGGATGGTCTCGATCTCTTGACCTCGTGATCCACCCGCCTCAGCCCCCCAAAGTGCTGGGATTACAGGCTTGAGCCACCGCGCCCGGCCTCTTTTTGTTTTTAATTAAAATTTTTTTTTGTAGAGACACAAGATTCTCCAGTGTTGCCAGGCTGGGGTACAGTAGACAGCTTTGAACTCCTGGGCTCAAAGAAGCTTCCCAAGTAGCTGGGACTCCAGCCGTGCGCCACTGCATCTTCTGTGCATGCTGTTTAAACTGACTCTGATATATGTTGTCTTCATCTTTTTGTGTCATATTTAAGAGCTCTAATATTTTTAATTTTCTCTATACCTTAATCCTTTAAAAAACATTCTGCCTCTAAATGTTTTCTACTTCTACCTTCCTTATTTTTGAATTGCCCCCATGTTATTTTTCTTTATCAGGTCAGTAAAATCAGCTTGGTGGATCTAGCAGGAAGTGAACGAGCTGATTCAACTGGTGCCAAAGGAACTCGATTAAAGGTATTTATTTGAGCAAGTAAATGGCCTGATCAATAAATGTTCTGTACCATGTGACAGCAAAGTGTGGCTAGTGGGCCAAATTCAGCCCACTAGCTATTTTTGTAAGTAAGGTGTTATTGAAACACAGCTACATACATTTGTTTATGTATTGTCTGTGGCTGCTTTTGCACTACAATGGTAGTGTTGTAACAGAGACCATATGGCTCAAAAAACCTAAAATAATTTGTGTTTGTCCTTTTATGGGAAAATTTTGCAGACTCCTGATCTGTAACTTCAATGGAAGGATGAGTTATCAAACTAAATAGTTAGGGAGAATGTCATAGAGTGAAAGTTGAATTGCATTTTGAGGAACAGGCAGCATTTGGCTAGGTGGAATTAAGAGATGGCCATGGGAAAAGGATATACAAGATTCAGATGTGAGAAGAACAGAAATTTCATGTTGATGAGTTGAGGGAAGAAGATTACACACATCTGTAAGCTTTTGGAGCACAAACATCTTGAAGATACTTTAGGACTGTGAGTTAGGCTTGTGGTCTCAGCATGTTATTATCAAGTGGAGAAAAGGACAGATTGAGGACTAAAGGTCGTTTTTAGAATTTGTAGTAATAAAGAGATATGCTAGCATATGGCAAATCATATTTTATGTTCTGTATTATATGGCAGTCGTAGAAATTCTTTCTAATTCTTTCATTTTTGGTATTTATTTTAGGAAGGAGCAAATATTAATAAGTCTCTTACAACTTTGGGCAAAGTTATTTCAGCCTTGGCCGAGGTGGTAAGTTTTATACTTCGTTCATTATAAAGGGAGTTGTGTCTATTCAGCAAATATACTTGATGATATTTTATTATTTTATTATCTATGAAGGCTGTCCTTCTGTGGCCCTTTTATGTGATCTTGCCTTTCTCCTTTAGAGCTTTTCAGATAAGATACTAGGTATAACACAGTTTGACTTTGTACTGAAAGTAAAAGAGATTAAGGAGAACAAAAGTAAATATAGATCTATAAAAACTAGAGCCAACACTTAACGTTTGACTCATTTTTTGAGCCTTATTTTATGTCTCTCACAAAAATCAAGTATATTTATTGTCTCTTCTTTTCCTGTGCAGTCTTTTCTGAGTAGGATGCAGTATCTTTTGGAGTATTTTGAACAGTTTGGCTTTGGAGAATGCAGTTGATTTGAGGGCCAGTAGTATTTTTTCCCCCAGTAGTTTTATTCTTTCCTGTTCCTTAACAATCGAACACTAAAGCAAAAACATTTTTTTAAATTAGGGGCTTAATTATCTACATTACTTAAATTAGTCACTGTGTGTTCTAGTTTAGTTTAATACCTCATTTTAATTGCTAAGAAGAATGAAATGCTTTCTTGCTTACCTTGGAGAAATTATAACCTCTGATATAAAATTTAAACAAATTATTATTTCTACTTGGAGGCTTATCCTGTGTTCTTGTTTTCTCTTTTAAATGCTTTCACCTGTAGGATAACTGCACTAGCAAGGTATGGTGGGGATTGGTAGAGATAAACTACCTGTAGAATTGACTTTTATGTTTTAAATCCTCATCAGGATGTATGGAAGCATAAGTAGGAATGGAGCCTTCAAAAATCTTCTCGTCATTTGTTTCTGGCTCTGAAATTTAGAGTGACTGTTTAGGGTGACCACAAATCATGAGATTTCACACCAGAATTAACTTATAGAACATGATCTGCTTTAGAGAAGGAATTAAGAATAAAGAAACAAGGCGGGGCACAGTGCTTATGCCTGTAATCCTAGCACTTTGGGAGGCCGAGGCAGGTGGATAATTTGAGTCAAAGTTTGAGAACAGCCTAGTCAACATGGTGAAACCCCATCTCTACTAAAAACACAAAAATTGGGCCAGACGCGGTGGCTCATGCCTGTAATCCCAGCACTTTGGGAGGCTGAGGTGAGTGGATCACGAGGTTGAGAGATCGAGACCATCCTGGCCAACATGGTGAAACCCCGTCTCTACTAAAAATACAAAATATTAGCTGGGCGTGGTGGCACATGCCTGTAATCCCAGCTACTTGGGTGGCTGAGGCAGGAGAATCGCTTGAACCCAGGAGGTGGAGGTTACGGTGAGCCAAGATTGTGCCATTGCACTCCAGCCTGGGCAACAAGCGCAAAACTCCGTCTCAAAAAAAAAAAAAAAAAAAAACACACACACAAATTAGCTGGGCGTGGTGGCACGTGACTAGAGTGTCCCAGCTACTCAGGGTTTTTTTTTTAATTTTTATTTTTTAAAAGACAGAGTCTACTCTGTCGCCCAGGCTGGAGTACAGTGCTATAATCTCAGCTCACTGCATCCTCTGCCTCCCAGGTTCAAGCGATTCTCCTGCCTCAGCCTCCCAAGTAGCTGGGGCTACAGGTGCGCAGGACTACATGTGTGAGCCGCCGCATCCAGCCTACTCAGGGGTTTTAAACTGAGATATTAGGCCTCAAGGATTACATAGTGGAATGAAAGTCTGTTCCACTAATCTGAATGACTGAAAGGCTTAATTCTCCCTTGAGGTCTGTGCAATCTATAATTGAACCTGCTATTGGAAATGAGTTTCTGATTGGTGCATTGTGTGTCTGTGGGTGGGATGACATGATGTAGATATATTTGATAAGAAATGGAATTAAAATGTTTCTTGCCTACTGCCTTTCCTCCTCAAAAAAATAAACAGAGGCCAGCCACTCAGTAGTCTTTTTCTGAATAGAAAATGTACTGGTGCAAGTAGTAGGGTCATCCTTAGTTTAACATTGGATTATACCAAGACTGTAGGACTGGACTATAAAACTGGTGATTTGATGCCCTGGTTTGCCCCTTAGTAGCTTCTTTTTTTTTTTTTTTTTTTTTTGGAGAGTGAGTCTCATGCTGTTGCCTAGGCTGGGGTACAGTGGCACAATCTCAGATCACCGCAACCTCTACTTCCCGGGTTCAGGCGATTCTTCTGCCTCAGCCACCCAAGTAGCTGAGATTACAGGTGTCTGCCACCACCCCCAGCTAATTTTTTGTATTTTTAGTAGAGACAGGGTTTCATCATGTTGGCCAGGCTGGTCTCGAACTCCTGACCTCAGTGATCTTCCCACCTCAGTCTCTCAAAGTGTTGGGATTACAGGTGAGAGCCACTGCACCCAGCCTCCCCTTGGCAGCTTCTTAAAGTGTCACAACATGGTAGTTGACTAGCAGATATTTGAATAGCTGTTACTTGTAAAGCATTTGCATTAATTTTTACTTTTAGAGAATATAATTTTTTTTCATTTTAGCACTGCCTTTTTGTTGGTGCTTTTTGCTTTATCCTGTGGTGGTAATAAGAAGGATCATGAAGAAAGCTGTATAAGTAGACTTAGTAGAACATTTGTCTTGAAACTTTTATAGATTTCTAAATTTACAAATCATACCACTTTCTTAGACCTTTTTACTTTTAGTCTTTGCTTCAGTAATTGGATTATTTTTGGCATAATTTCCTTTCAAAAAGACCAAACGAGTATTATTTTACAAGAGTTAGTAGATTTGCAACAACCCACCCAATGACATTGTGATTGGCCAAGTAAATTCACTAATTAGATGATTTGATCCTACTCATTCAACCTGGAATGTACAGGATTCATATTTGCCCCTCTGCAAAAATAAAAATGGAGGACTGGGTATTAGATGATGTTAGGGAATTATTGTTTATTTTGGTAAGGTGTGATAATGGTACTTTCATGGGAAGAAAAAGAAAACCATATGGACAGGATATTAGGCAATAGTATTGTGTTGATGTTAAATTTTTTTAATTTGGTCATTGTTTTCTGTGTAAGAGAATGTTCTTATATGCTGAAGTGTTAAGGGATAAATGGAGATGAGGTCTGCAACTGACTTCAAAATGGGTCAGGGAAATAAAAAGTTGCAGAAAAGTGTTTGGAGGATAATTGAAAGATGATCGGCAGAGTATTGATAATGCTTGAAGCTGTGTATTGGGTATGGTAGCTCATTATACTGTTCTCTCAACTGTTGTGTAAGTTACACATTTTTCAAAATAAAATGTAAAATGAAAATATTACCTTATTCCATGATTCCATGAGTTTTTGGTATTGTGAAGAATTGAAACTGTAAAGGATAAACTTCCACAGTGATGGAGTTGTACTGTAATTTGATTTACTTGGGAATATTAAACTGATTGTGCCTTCTTGGGAATTTTTTTCCCTAACAAACGATGCTAAGACCATTCCTTTCTCTTTAATAGAGTAAAAAGAAGAAGAAAACAGATTTTATTCCCTACAGGGATTCTGTACTTACTTGGCTCCTTCGAGAAAATCTAGGTATGTTGACCACTAATGAAAAGTAGTTATCTTTTTAACTTTGATTCTCTTTTGTGGTTAATTGTCATGTGTTTTGGAGACAAATAATCTCTAGATATTCATGTTATTACTTGAGTGGTCCTTGTCTGCTTTTGTTTTTACTCCTAATTTCTGTTGGTTGGATTCCTTGCTTTTAAGCCAGGGTATACTCCCATATCTCATTTACTTCAGGGCATGAACTGTGCAGTAGTTGTCTTCCCAACTCTCCATACCCGCTTCAAATGACGGCTCAGTCTTTAAAGTTATTTCAAAACTCCATGCTCCTCTGAGATGCACAAAATCAGACATTGCAAACCCTTATTTCTCTTCATTGCTGATGTTTTCAGACTTTCAAATCACTGTTCTTCATTCACTTCTACTTTTTTTTGAGATGGCGTCTTGCTCTGTTGCCCAAGCTGGAGTGCAGTGGTACGATCTCGGCTCATTGCAACCTCTGTCTCCTGGGTTCAAGCAATTCTCCTGCCTCAGTCTCCCAAGTAGTTGGGATTACAGGCACACCACCATGCCTGGCTAACTTTTTTTGTACTTTTAATAGAGACAGAGGCCAGGCTGGTCTTGAACTCCTGACCTCAGATGATCCACCCACCTCGGCGCCCCAAAGTGCTGGGATTACAGGCATGAACCACCGTGCCTGGCCACAGTTCTCCTACTTAACAAGGAGGAAGGAGTGGTGGTCAGCTGTGTGAAATGTTGCTGATAGAAGAGGCTGAAAATGGATTGCTGGGGTTATCCCCATTGCTAGTGACTTTCAAATTGCTAAGGGCAGTTTTGATGGAATAGCTGAGATCTTGATTGGAGTGGGTGTAAGACAGAGTGGGAAGAAGGAACTAGATACAGTAGATTCAGACATCAAAATTTGAATATAAGTGTCTGGCATGGGGACATTTAAGAAATTTGACATTAGGCCAGGCGTGGTGGCTCACCCCTGTAATTCTAGCACTTTCAGAGGCTGAGGTGGGCAGATCACCTGAGGTCAAGAGTTCAAGAGCAACCTGGCCAACATGACAAAACCCCATCTCTACTGAGAATACAAAAATTAGCAGGGTGTGGTGGTGGACACCTAGAAAGAAAGAAAGGCGGGTGGGGTGAGAGAGAGAGAGAGAGAGAGATGGGGGAGATGGAGGGATTTGACATTACATTAAATCTTAGGATCTGAGATTGTACCATGAGATTTGACATATTCAGTAAAATTTTTCTTCTAAAATTAATGTGATTTGAGGTACTCATGATTAATCTTTTTAGGTGGCAATTCTCGTACTGCAATGGTTGCTGCTCTGAGCCCTGCAGATATCAACTACGATGAGACTTTGAGCACTCTAAGGTACTTTCTTTTGATCTCAGTAGCAACATACACCACATTGCCATCAGAAGTCATTTTGTGATACCGTGGATGTTCTTAATGCGGTCTGGGTAGTTATTTATGTAAATAATGATCCTTTACTCTCATAACAGGGAAAACTTAGGGTAAAAGTGATTTACATTACAATAGAATTTACGTCTGTGGTTTTCAGTTTCATTGGGAAAGGTATGAACTTTTAATTTATTTTTTAATCCCCCATGAATATCTAGATAAGACAGGAACTTTTTCATAGGAAAGATTTTTAAATTGCTCAAGTGGGATGTTTGGATAACTTTTAGATAATAGTGACATTTTCTTATAATATTCATTTCTATAAAAAGAAATGGCCTCCCTTCTTGTGGTGTTTGTCATAGAAATGCTGAAGTCGGCTGGGCGCAATAGCTCAGTCCTGTAATCCCACCACTTTGGGAGGCCAAGGTGGGTGGATCACTTGAGGTCAGGAGTTTGAGACCAGCCTGGCCAACTTGGTGAAACCCTGTCTCTACTAAAAATACAAAAATTAGCCAGTCGTGGTGGTGTGTGTCTGTAATTCCAGCTACTCAGGAGGCTGAAGCAGGAGAATTGCTTGAGCCCAGGAGACAGAGGTTGCAATGAGCCAAGATTGCACCACTGCACTCCAGCCTGGAGACAGAACGAGACTCCGTCTCAAATAAAATGAAAGAAAAAAAAAGAAATGCTTAAGTCATAATAAGTAATAAAATTATAGGATTATGTCGCAGTGTTAAAAATAACCAACATAGCCAGGTGCAGTGGTGTACACCTATAGTCCCAGCTACTTGGAAGGCTGAGGCGGGAGGATCACTTGAGCACATGAGTTTGAGGCCAGCCTAGGCAACATAGTGAGACTTTGTCTCTTAAAAAAAAAGAAAAAAAAAAAACAGTTAATAGAATGTTCATGACAAGTTTTTTTATTTGTTTGTTAGTTTTGGTTTTCGAGATGGAGTTTTGGTGTGTGGCCCAAGCTAGAGTGCAGTGGCAAGATTATAGCTCACTGCAGCCTCAGACACCTGGGCTCATGTGATCCTCCTACTTCAGCCTCCCAAGTAGCTAAAACTACAGACTCATGCCACTAGGCCTGGCTAATTTTTAAAAATTTATTGTAGAGATGGGAGGTCCTGTTACGTTACCCAGGATGGTTTCAAATTCCTGGCTTCAAGTGATCCTCCCCACTTGGCCTCCTAAAGTGCTGGGATTACAGGTGTGAGCTACCTTGTGAGGCCTATTTTTTACATATGATTAGGTTTCACTATTTTAGTCTGGAACTCTCTGCCCTTCTTCCAGGAAAGGCACTTGATATAGTGGAATGAACACTATATAGTCTCATAAATTGAGTTTAAGTCCTCTCGCTGTTACTTATTTTCATTGTGATCTTGGGCAGATCACTTAAATTCATCTGAACCTTTTTCTTCATCTTTAATAGGTACAATAAAGCTTTATACAAATGTATTCTTATCAAGACTCAAAAAATGTAAACACTCAGGATATTTGATTTAGAAATAATAGTATGTTACTTATGAGAAGTAGAACACATGAGAAATGACAAGAATGAACTTTTTTGATCTAGATATGCAGATCGTGCAAAACAAATTAAATGTAATGCTGTTATCAATGAGGACCCCAATGCCAAACTAGTTCGTGAATTAAAGGAGGAGGTGACACGGCTGAAGGACCTACTTCGTGCTCAGGGACTGGGAGATATTATTGATAGTAAGTGAATTAAGGATCATCACAAAATCTAATTCTTTCTTCTTCAAGGTTCTTACATTTAAAATAAACTTCAAGTTAAGGAACATGATGAAGCTAAATGGTAGTGAAAACGTTTTTGTTTTTCTTTTTCCTTAAAAAGCCCAGTGGAAATGATCTCTAGATTTCTTTATGTAGTGTGTACCCGGCTATCTATTTGAACTCATGAAATTAGTTTTACAATCATGAATATGTTACTAGTATTTTTGTTCGAATTCTCTTTTAGATCAGCAGTGAAGTTTATTTGGAATGTTAAACCTGTCACTGAGCAATTAATCACTTCATAGAAATGTTATTTGAGATTTTTGTTTTGTTTCATGGGTTACTCTGGATTAGTATAGTGGCAGTAATAGAAGAAATGCACATTGAGGTCTACCTTCAGATAAGATTCACCTTTGAACGGCCCCCTCCTCCTATAAAATGATGGAGTGCCCCCTGCTGCCTATGAACATATGAAGGGGAAAACTTCAATTCCTATGAAGTTCAAGAACTACCCTTCCAGAGAATATTGTTTTACGATGTATTAAAATTCATCTTAAAAAATCTTCGTGATGTGCCTGTACAATGGTTTATTCAGAAGTTCTCTTAAGTGAGAAAAATGGATCATTTATATAGGCTTAGAATATGGTAGAATATGGGTTGGTTTAGTAAAGCATTTTTTTTTTAGTGTAATATTAGTATTATATTCCTTGAAGTTCTAATAAGATTTTCAAGGCCTCTTCTAGTTTAGTTCTTACTGATTAGAACCTGAGTTGAGATGAATACCGTTGAAAATGATACCATATTCTGAGTATTAACTTTTTCATCTCCCCAAGTGCCAAAAACTGCTCTGTTCGCTCTCTGTGTCACTGCTGAACCTGAACTTTGACCCTTCTCATATTTTCCCTCCTGCTTACCTTCAGTTGATCCATTGATCGATGATTACTCTGGAAGTGGAAGCAAATGTGTGTATTTCACATATTGGTTATTTCCAGTACTCTGACTTGCTAATCTGCCTCTGCTGGATCAGCCTTAAAATGAGCTTTGCATGCCAGCAATCTTTACAGGGAAATCCCAGACAGAGCATCATGTAGAATCAGAAATGATCCTATTTTTGCCCTTCTTCCTTTAGCAAACTAATCTTTGCTGAATTTTAGTTTGTGGCTTGAGTGAAGTTGAAAGGCTTAAGAATCTCTTGCTTCATCTACTCCTCTGTTTTTCCCATTGTGATTAAATTAAATCCAAAATAACAGATGATGATAGCAACTGATACCTACTGATTGTTCATAATATGCCAGGCCCTATTCTGGGCACCTTGAATATATTATCTCTTTTATTTCTGTTAATGACTCTGAAAACATTTCTTTATGTTTATTTTACCAATAATCATTTTCAGTCAACAAAAAATATTTGTGATTGAAGAGCTCTGTAAATGTTGGACTAACACTCATGGGTGCTTGTGCTAAGTTGCTTTTCTCCATATCTTGGGCTTTGGATGATTAGGTAAACATTTTTTCCTCTTTTTTTTTTTTTTGAGGTGGTCTCTGTCACCTGCACTGGAGTGTTGTGGCACGATCATGGCTCACTGCAACCTGGAACTCTTGGGCTCAAGTGATCTTTTAACCCAGCCTCCTCAGTATCTGAGACTATAGTTGTGTGCTGCCACACCTGGCTTATTTTTTATTTTATTTTATGTTTATTTTGATTTTTTTGAGACCGTGTCTCGCTGGAGTGCAGTGGCACAGTCTTGGCTCACTGCAACCTCCACCTCCCAGGTTCAAGAAATTCTCCTGCCTCAGACTTCCGAGTAGCTGGGACTACAGGCGTGCGTGACCACACCCAGCTGATTTTTGTATTTTTTTAGTAGAGACAGGGTTTCACTGCATTGGCCAGGATGGTCTCAATCTCTTGACCTCATGATCCAACCACCTCGGCCTCCCAAAGTGCTGGGATTACAGGCATGAGCCACTGCACCCGGCCTATTTTTTAATTTTTAATTTGTAGAGATGAGGAGTGTCACCGTTTCCCAGGTAGAACTCCTGGCCTGGAACTCCTGGCCTCAAACAGTTCTCCTGCTTTGGCTTACCAAAGTGCTCACAGATGTGAGCCACCACACCCAGCCTTTCCTCTTTTCATAAGTCACAAATTAAAATAACTTAGGTATCTAAAATGGGTGCTTGAGTTGAAAACATTTTTAAAGGATCACATGAATCTCATTATTCCCTCCATATATCTCATAAGTTGGTAAGGAAATTATTTCGTACCCTTTTAAGGTAATTCATCAAGAAATTGTTATCTTAGAAGAAAAAATCTTGATTTAGGATTAATTTTTAGATTCATACTGAGTTACTTCTACAGTAAGGCATGTATTGAGGCTTAGCAGACATTCAGAAAATGCATAGGAGAAACCAAATATAGCCCTGGTTGTTATGAGGTTAGGGCTTGAAGGCACTCTAATGTCCTGTTACAGAAGTGACTCTTGGACTGCAGCAGCTCTGTCTGAGATTTCCAAAGCTCAGTGATACTGGTGTGGAAAAGGTGCCTTCTTGGTTTTGCTTTTGTGCTCAAGGTGTTGCTGCTGCCAGCTTGTTGCCTACCTCTCTTAGCAGCTGCAGCGTTTCCTGAAAGACCATGCATGACTAAGTTTTAATTCTGTATTGGTAAGAGAAAGCAGCCCTGGCTACTTCTCAATTTCCATTTTGAACCATTTTCCTTAATTCCTTTTAGGGCTTGCATGTGACCATTGGACCTAAACTCTGTCCATCCTGGTCCTTTCCCCCAGTGCCTAATTTTTTTTGCTCTAATCCCTATTCCCCTTTTAAAAGATGCTGCTTTGCTTGTTTCCCTATGTTCTATATTTGCAGATGGTGGTTTTCAAACTGTCTCGAGGCAACCACTGGCTTTCAGGGAGTTAAAAAATTGGCTTTAATTAAATAGTAGAGATGAGTAGGCCCAGAGAGAATTAATAGTATTTTTTCCAACTATGTGTATTGACTCATCTCCTTTAAGGAAACTTACTTAGTTTCGATATGAATTTTAATTTCTCAAATTTAAAAATGAGCTAATTTTAAAGTTGGATTGCACCAATACTTATGGTTTACCTTTGGTGTCTTTTTTTTTTTTTTTTTTTTTTTTTTTTTTTTGAGACGGAGTTTCGCTCTTGTTACCCAGGCTGGAGTGCAATGGCGCGATCTCGGCTCACCACAACCTCCGCCTCCTGGGCTCAGGCAATTCTCCTGCCTCAGCCTCCTGAGTAGCTGGGATTACAGGCACGTGCCACCATGCCCAGCTAATTTTTTTTGCACTTTTAGTAGAGACGGGGTTTCACCATGTTGACCAGGATGGTCTCGATCTCTCGACCTCGTGATCCACCCGCCTCGGCCTCCCAAAGTGCTGGGATTACAGGCTTGAGCCACCGCGCCTGGCTACCTTTGGTGTCTTTTTGCGAAGGATGACTAATGAAAGAAAGTAAAAATGGCAAATTAATGAATTTTGTTGTTTGTGGCTTAATTTTTTTTTCTTTTACCAATACTGAGTTTAAAAGCAAAATTAACAGTTCTGTTAGAGAGTTAGTAAATAGAAGTATGTTCCTAAAACTTGCTTTTTATACTAGGGAGCAGGCTTACCAGTGACCCATGGTTGTACCGTTAGGCTAATTAAGTGCCTTACTTAAATTAGCAAAAAAAAATCAGCGTTATTTTTTGCTTGTTCTGATAGAAGAATGGAACCTACACTAAAATGCATTAATCTGCTAATTGTTCTTCCCTGTTGAGACAATCAGTTAGTCCTGAGTTTTTGTTTTTTTTTTTTTATAGCAAGTCCTGAGTTTTTAACCATGACTCAAAAAAATTCCTCTCATTTCTACAATTACCTCTTTTAAAATTTAAGACATATTTAAAAATCCTTTTAGCATACAAGGCAGGGCGCGGTGGCTCACGTCGGTAATCCCAGCACTGTGGGAGGCCGAGGTGGGCGGATCACCTGAGGTCAGGAGTTCCAAGACCAGCCTGGCCAACATGGAGAGACCCTATCTCTTAAAATAAATAAATAAATAGAAATGTTGCCATACAAAGCATACTACTAAATGCACACATTTTTAACTGTAACATTTTCTTGGCAATTTTTGCTGAATTACGTAAAACACTGAGCCAGACCAATATGGATTATTATTGATAAATAAATGATCATTGTTTTCCCCTTACTGTTACAAACTACTGGAAAAGTGTAAATCTGAAGACATTGTAGACTTGAAACACTAGAGAGACTAAATGGTAGTTTGGCTTTTTTAGGGAGAGTGCAGAAGCAGTATCCTTTGAGGCTCTAGTTTATCCCCCTACAAGATACAGTGTTAACCTACATTGGAATCTTTTTGTTTGTAAATACAGAAATGATTCTGAGCCTCTAGGATACCAGTATTCAAGACAGACATGTTTTAGAACTGCCATCTAGAACAGTTGTAACCTGTGTTTGTATCATAGCGTGTCTTTGTCTTGGCGCTTTAATGCTGTCCTTTCTTACAATGATATTCCTTCCTGTCTTTTTTTCTCCCTCTGCTTCTTTCCCTTTTCTCTACTTTTTCTGCCTTCTGTTCTATCTCCCAGATCTGAAAGATTTTCAGAACAATAAGCATAGGTACTTGCTAGCCTCTGAGAATCAACGCCCTGGCCATTTTTCCACAGCATCCATGGGGTCTCTCACTTCATCCCCATCTTCCTGCTCACTCAGTAGTCAGGTGGGCTTGACGTCTGTGACCAGTATTCAAGAGAGGATCATGTCTACACCTGGAGGAGAGGAAGCTATTGAACGTCTAAAGGTAAGTAATAGTTCAGACTGAATATAAGGTATTCTGTATAGTAGTTCCACAAAGAAGAACCAGGAGTAAAAATCACTAAGATTTCGACTCAGCATATGGAGAACTCTTGACTCTTAGAGGTGTCCTGAAAATTGAATTTTCTACTTTGTAAGTTAATTTCTTTTCACTGGAGTGCTTGAGTCTGACATGGCCAAGCAGAGATGGGAGATGGTAGAGGTACATGGGTAGTACATAGGCTGGCCATGCAGAGTAACCAGATTTGAACATTAATTCTGGGGCAGTTTATCAAGTCACAGTGAAATTGTTTTGTTAGAGATTTATTTGGAAACATTTGGTTTCATTTGAAGATGGAATTCTGTATAGAGCCATGCTTCTGTTAATAAAGTTTGAACATTTGAGTAGCTGTTCCAGGTTTATTCAGATACATATTAAATTATATCATCTAGAAATTCACAGAAAACCTTGATACCTTATGATTACTGTACAGAAAGGTTATCTCCTCTGCTGGTACTCATGGGGTCACACGGCCATAGATTACTGGCCTGTGGCTCCCAGCTTTGCTGTTGGAGGTTTTTTGCAATCTGTTGCTGGCTCTGTCACATTCAATCTTGTATCTCTCTATGAATATGAAAGTCAAGAGCAGCAGAGCCTTTTAACTTGTAGCTGCTTCTCTTCCTCCTCAATTAATTCAGTGCACAGATAGTTGTCACTTGCAATGCTGAAAGCTGTGTGGGAACCCTACTACCCATCAGATGACTGTGACATGTGACATCATCATCTGCTTTGAAGCAAATATTTTTTCTTCCCTTGCTTGTCACCTCCAGGAAGTTAGTTTGATCCATACCTTTTTGCCATTGTGTTCAAGAGTGCTAGGGTAGGGGACAAAGGGAGGACAAGGAACACTTTTAGTCTGGGAAGTTGCAGTCATGCTGCTAGCCAGTGGTCCTCCTCACATTCACTCAATATTCCCCTTGAGTGCCACTCATGCAAGAATGATTGAGAACAGTGACACATTGATACATTTAACAGGTAAAAGGCTTCTGAAAAACTTGACAGTAAAGGTGAATTAAGCTTGATAACTGAAAATGTCAGATGCTTTCATTTTAATTTTCATGTGAGGCTGAAAAATATTTTATATGAAGAAAGAGGTTCTGCTTTTTCTTTCTTAGTCAGCCTACCTTTTCCCTTGACATTTTACTTACTTCAAAAGTACACTGTGGGTCGGGCATGATGGCTCACACCTGGAGACCGAGTACTTTGGGAGGCTGAGGCAGGGGGATCATTTTAGTCCAGGAGTTTAAGGCTGCAGTGAGCTATGATTGCACTGCTGCACTTTAGCCTCAGTGACAGAGTGAGACTATCTAAAAGAAAAAATGCCTTAGAAACAAAAATAAGGTTGGGTGTGGTAGCTCACGCCTGTAATCCGAGCACTTTGGGAGGCCAAGGTGGGTGGATCATCTGAGGTCAAGAGTTTGAGACCAGCCTGGCCAACATAGTGAAACCCCATTTCTACTAAAAATATAAAAATTAAGCCAGGTGCAGTGGCTTATACCTGTAATCTCACACTTTGGGAGGCTGAGGCGGAAAGATCACTTGAGTTCAGGAGTTCGAGATCAGCCTGGCCAACATGGTGTAACCCCATCTCTACTAAAAATATGAAAATTAGCCAGGCATGGTGGCGCACACCTGTAGTCCCACCTACTTGGAGGCTGAGGCACAAGAATTGCTTGAACCTGGGAGGTGGAGGGTGCAAGATGTGGAGATGGTGCCATTGCACTCCAGCCTCGGTGGCAGAGTGAGACTCTGTCTCAAAAAATAAATAAATAAAAATGAAAAAATTAGCCAAGCCTAGTGGCATACACCTATAGTCCCAGCCACTCGGGAGGTTGAAGTAGGAGAATTGCTTGAACCCGTGAGGCAGAGGTTACAGTGAGCTGAGATCACACCACTGCACTCCAGCCAGAGTGAGACTCCATCTCAAAAAACAAAACAAAACAAAACAAAAATAATATTCTTGTTTCTTCCTTTGGAACATGTAAGTGGAAAGTGAGTGAAGTTCTGTAATACCTAGCAAAGGGAGAGGGAGTGAGAAATCTTTCCATTAAATGTTGCAGGCTGCAGGGTAATTTTTACTGTTGGTAAAATTGACTTTGAAATTTTACTAAAGACCTTAGTGAAGAGGAGTGGTAAGGCTCCATTCACACATTTTCTCACACTATGTGTCAGTGACCATTTTGCTTTGTTAGGCTCTTTTCAGAGCCGGAGTGAGAAATAGGGAGCTCTATGGGAATGAGAAATAAAACTCCCACTCACTAAGTCCTTAATATAAAATGTTCTTTTTCTTTCGGGATTTTAAATCTATTTGTTTATTAAAGTCTTAGCGCATACGTATGAGATTACCCTTCCCTTGACATTTATCTTGCTCTAAAGGAGAAATCAAGGACATTTTTCTTGATGTAAAGGAGACGTTTCTACCTAACTGCCAGTGGACCAATTGAAAATAATGTCACATGTTAGGAGTCAAGACATTAACCAGACTCTTTTTTTTTTTTTTTTTTTTTTTGAGATGGAGTTTCGCTCTTGTTACCCAGGCTGGAGTGCAATGGCGCGATCTCGGCTCACCGCAACCTCCGCCTCCTGGGTTCAGGCAATTCTCCTGTCTCAGCCTCCTGAGTAGCTGGGATTACAGGCACGTGCCACCATGCCCAGCTAATTTTTTTGGTATTTTTACTAGAGACGGGGTTTCACCATGTTGACCAGGATGGTCTCGATCTCTCGACCTCGTGATCCACCGGCCTCGGCCTCCCAAAGTGCTGGGATTACAGACGTGAGCCACCGCGCCTGGCCAACCAGACTCTTTAAGAATCAGGTTATCCAGTGTCCTCCAAATCATTTCTAGGGAATGAGACTGTCATTATTCAGGGAACTGTTCCTTCAACTTCCCTATGTCCCACTAAAGCAAAACAAAACAAAACTATATTACTTCAATCAGAAAACAAATTTCTGTTTTAATTCTTCCTTACACCAAAATAAACTAACTCTTTTATCTTCCTTCTGAAGAAAACAGCTTTCTTAGGGTTTCGTATTGTCTTGAGTTTTCAATGCAGTGTTGTAGTTCACTGAAGCATAAGCGCCTTAGTTCTGCTCTTATTTTGTGAATGGTGAGAATTCCTTTTGGGCCGACCTGCATTTTAATGCTGCAGGCAGATAGCATCTTTCATTCACAGCACCAGGGGCAGTGGTTATACAATAGAAATGCTTGAGAATATCTAGGAACTGGGTTCCTAAGGCATGGTGCTGCAGGAGAAAAATATTATAATGAAAAACAGCAACAGAGGGGGTTAAATCATTTCCTAACATTTTATTTCCCTTTGTTTCTTTTTGACTTTAAAAAAGGTCAGTTGATTGGATACTCTTTTCATACACGATGCCCCTGTGGCTTTTTTCACTCAATAGCCTTTTTCCATATATTAGGTACTTAGGTCACATCGTTGTAAATACTTCTTTTTTTTTTCTTTTCTTTTGAGTCAGAGTCTTGCTCTGTCACCCAGCCTGGAGTGTATTGTAGTGGTGGGATCTCCACTCACTGCAGCCTCCAACTCTCGGGTTCAAGTGATACTTCTGCATCAGCCTCCCAGGTAGCTGGGATTACAGATGTGTACCACTACACCTGGCTACTTTTTGTATTTTTAGTAGAGACTGGGTTTCGCCATGTTGGCCAGGCTGATCTTGAACTCCTGACCACAGGTGATCCACCCTCCTCAGCCTCCCAAAGTGCTGGGATTACAGGGTGAGCCACCCCACCCAGCCCATTATAAATATCTTAATCTCTCTATAAACCTCCCTGGCTTCTGTCATAGAGAGACAAGTGATGTGTGATTGCCTCAGTTTGATGTTGCAACTCAAACTGAAATTTGAGTTGAAATCAATCGTTTATTTGGTTTCCTTTCTAATAAAGTTTTATTTTTGAGATGGAATCTGGCTCTGTCGCCCAGGCTGGAGTGCAGTGGCATGATCTTGGCTCACTGCAACCTGTGCCTCCTACCACGCCTGGCTAGTTTTTATATTTTTAGTAGAGACAGGGGTTCGCCATGTTGGCCAGGCTAGTCTCAAACTTCTGACCTCAGGTGCCTTGGCCTCCCAAAGTGCTGGGATTACAGGTGTGAGCCACCATACCCAGTCTTCCTGTCTAATAAGGTTTTAAACATGCAGCTGTAGCCACAGCTTTGGTGTTTATTAGTCTGGTGTCACAGTCAGTACTGTGAGTGCCATTGCTTAGGCTTAGCCTATAAATACCCACAAATATCCATTACAGAAGCAGGCAAGGGCAGATGCTGTGCTAAGCAGCCCAAGGGCCACACTTGGAACCCACTTAAGAAGCATGCTGTGTTCAGTGCAGTAAAACCTTGGCAATTCAATGGCTTCAACAAATGTTCTGTGTAGTAAGTGTTTTTCACAGAAATATTTCTGGCTTGTCCTGGTGATTTCTCTGCTATCTTAACTGAGTCATCAAGAAGAGATTAAATTGTTTAGCTGTGTGAACATAGTTTATTAACCAGTGTTGTACAGATAGCTAGAGATGCCGACAAACATGATTTGAGACTAAAGTGAATGACACCTGAGCCCAGCATTCTTAAGAGCTAAAGAAGAGTTCCTGGTGTCCCTCTGTTTTTTGGAATTTTTTTTCCAAGAAAGGAAGGAGGATTAAAGATTTATCTCCTAAAACCCTCGTTTCTGAACCATGAACCCACATTTCAAGTTTATCTTACATTAGGCTCCTAGAGTGGGATATGGGAAGCCCTGGACACCAGCATGCCTGCCTGCCACCAGAATGAGTTGATGCTCCTGAGTTGAATGCTGTCCTGCATTTGGCTTCCCTATTTTATTTATACTAATTTTGTTACTCAGGCTGGAACAGACTATCTTTCACTTATTCTTAATTTAGGGTGAGCTGTTTCATATAATATTTACTTGAAAGCCTATCGATCCTGCTTTATTTGAAGAAAGAACAGTGAGTCAGCAAATAGCTCTAGACTGGCTCAGTGAGTGGTATGGCCTCACTTAGCTTCTGTGGTCTGCTTTATTCTTTTGAGATGGAGTCTTTCCCTGTCACCCAGGCTGGAATGCAGTGGCGCCATCTTGGCAACCTCCGCCTCCCAGGCTCAATCGATTCTCCTGCCTCAGCCTCCCAAGTAGCTGGGACTACAGGCACATGCCACTGAGCCCGGCTCATTTTTGTATTTTTAGTAGAAACGGGTTTTGCCATGTTAGCCAGCTGGTCTTGAACTCCTGTCTCTGATCCAGTTTTATCTCTAGAATGGTTCCAGAATAAATGATTTCACAGGCTTTTTTCAGCCCTGAAGTTGTACTAATGTGACTCACAGTTATTTTCTGTAAGTTTTCCTCAAAGTTTTTAAAAACAGCTTTCTAGCAACCTAAAAATTACAGCTGGAAACTGCAATAAAAATAAAAGTTGTACCTTACTCATTACATTTCTTTTCTACAAAGACGTCATGTTCTGATTTACCCTTAAGGTGGTAAGGAAATTAGATAAGTCATATTAGAGTTGGCTGCAAAATGCTAAGAGGATTCCTGGACAGTAATTTTGCTTTCTTAGAGTGAGTTCTACAGTTGCTCCAAAATAGGATAGCTTTCATATGGCCAGATAATCCTCTGCTCTGAAATAATCTTTTTCTGAAAGTAGTCAACTAGGAGTGGTTATTTTAAAAATATCCCATATGTCAGTTTGTATTCTATAACCAACAATGATTCGTGGGCCACACCATAATAAGTACTAGTCAGGATACTTTGGTTAGATTGGATGCATCCCATTGTCCTGTTTGTTGAAGGTTTTCACTTTGAGAAGATTGTATAGATTTCTACCCAGCTACCTTTATTTAATAGGCCTTAAATTTATGTAGGTTATATCGTCAGCAAGGAAAAAAACAGTCATATGTAAAAGCATTTTTTTTTTATTTTAAAAGAGGGACTCACTCTCCCTCAAGCTGGAGTGTAGTGGTGCAGTCAAAGCTCACTTATGCAGAAGCATTTAGCACCACTCTTAGTGGTTGTTCAATAACATTTGTGGCGCTTTATAGATAAACTGTTGAAAACTTGGTCCTTGGCCTTTTCACTCCTTGTGGAATTGTGTGGATTTGTCTTGCTTTCTGGCCCTCTAGCATGACACTGGTTCTCCACTTGGGGAGCGGCACATGCGCTGCATGGTAATCATTTCTACTGAGGACTGTGTAGAGATGCTATTCAGGTAGCTGTGTTAGCCTTTTAGCCTGTGCGTGTTCTGAAGGCTAATGAGAGTCATTTTAGGTGGTTTTTGTCACCCTCCCACCCCCAACTGCAGACTTGTTCTAGCTTCTCCCACTTTGTAACTCTTTTCTGAAAAACTACCTCCTACATGGCTGCCTTGATGTAAACCTTACTGATGCCCAGGTTCCTTCTTTTATCTGTTTTGTTCTTTGCCTAACTTTGCTGGTTGTTGTTGTTCTTCATCTTTCTTTTTTATTTTTTTTTTAATTTTAAATCATGCTGTCCTATTTGTTTCACCAAACTCGTATACTAGTTTGCTTTTGCAGCTGCTACCTTGAGTCTTTACTCTTGCCTTTTTAATGAGTTCCCTTGCCTTTGGTATGTTTTTTATTTTGAGGTGACATCCAATCACATAATAGTCTGGAAGTCCAAGAGATCCAGAAAGTCAAACGCCAGACAACTTAGGGTTTATTGTATTACTCACAGTCCCTTTCTGTGTAGATATTTTGAGATCCTAGAGGCTTCCTTAGTGACCTGTTATATGAGTCATACATTGAACTCTTTGATGAACTATAACATTTTCCTTGTTAATCACTGCTAGCATCATTACAGCCATTTAATTATCATCATCTGACTTTCTAACTTCGTCTCTATGACTGGCATTTTCACCTGCTTTTGCATGTGCTTATCCCTGTTTTTGGTACTCCTTTTCCTTCCATTTTTTAACTAGTTAATTCCTACTTGTCCTTCATTTCTCTGTCTGGGCCTCACTCACCTTGATTCACCCATGTTATAGAGACCTATGAATACTCTAATTCTAGCTCTTGGTACACTGTTCCTTTTTTTTTTTTTTTGAGACGGAGTTTCGCTCTTGTTACCCAGGCTGGAGTGCAATGGCGTGATCTTGGCTCACCGCAACCTCCGCCTCCTGGGTTCAAGCAATTCTCCTGCCTCAGCCTCCTGAGTAGCTGGGATTACAGGCACTCGCCACCATGCCCAGCTAATTTTTTGTATTTTTAGTAGAAACGGGGTTTCACCATGTTGACCAGGATGGTCTCGATCTCTTGACCTCGTGATCCACCCACCTCGGCCTCCCAAAGTGCTGAGATTACAGGCTTGAGCCACTGCGCCCGGCCCTTTTATTTTTTATTTTTTTGGAGACAGAGTCTTGCTCTGTTACCCAGGCTGGAGTGCAGTGGTGCAATCTCGGCTCACTGCAGCCTCCGCCTCCCAGGTTCAAGCAATTCTTCTGCCTCAGCCTCCTGAGTAGCTAGGACTACAGGTGCCCGTCATCACGGCCGGCTAATTTTGTGTATTTTTAGTAGAAACAGGGTTTCACCATATTGGCCAGGCTGGTCTCGAACTCCTGACCCTGTGATCCAACCCCCTCAGCCTCCCAAAGTGGTGGGATTACAGGCATGAGCTACCACGCCCAGCCAGTACACTGTTCTCTTATCTCCTACTGTAGCCATACTCAATCCTCAGACACTACTCTAGCAACACAATTCTTTTTTTTTTTTTTTTTTGAGACGGAGTTTCCCTCTTGTTACCCAGGCTGGAGTGCAATGGCGCGATCTCGGCTCACCACAACCTCCGCCTCCTGGGTTCAAGCAATTCTCCTGCCTCAGCCTCCTGAGTAGCTGGGATTACAGGCACACGTCACCATGCCCAGCTAATTTTTGTATTTTTAGTAGAGACAGGATTTCACCGTGTTGACCAGGATGGTCTCGATCTCTTGACCTCGTGATCTACCCACTTCGGCCTCCCAAAGTGCTGGGATTACAGGCGTGAGGGACCGCGCCCGGCCCAACACAATTTTTCTTAGAAAACTCCAGGTACTTTCCTATTCCACATGCTCACATGGCAGCTTCTGCTCTTCTTTGGTCTCTGCTCACGTGTCACTGAGTCAGTGAGGCCTGTCCTGACAACCTCATTTCAAATTGCTTCCTCACCTACCCTTCCCTGTCCGTTCTTTCCCTTTGTTGCTTTAGTTTTCTCCAGAGCACTTGCCACTATTTGACATACTGTATACTTACTGATTGAAATGGATTATCATGGCTGGGCACGGTGGCTCATGCCTATAATCCCAGCACTTTGGGAGGTCGAGGCAGGTGGATCGCCTGAAATCAGGAGTTCAAGGCCAGCCTAACCAATAATGGTGAAGCCCCATCTTTACTAAAAAGACAAAAACTTGCGGGTCGTAGTGGTGCGCACCTGCAGTCCCAGCTACTCAGGAGGCTGAGCAGAAGAATTGCTTGAACCTGGGAGGTGGAAGTTGCAATGAGCCAGGATCGTGCCACTGCACTCCAGCCTGGGCAACAGAATGAGAATCCGTCTCAAATAAAATATAAAATAAAATAAATCAGTCTCCTTACTACGATGTAAATCTTATGAAGTAAGAGATTTTGTTCTCTGCCATATCCATAGGTGCCTTGAACAAGGGTTGATATGTAATGGGGTTATATATAATTATTGAATGAATAAATCTTCAGTTACTTGTTTCTCTCCCCAGTATATACTAACCTCCTTGAGAACAGGAAACATGTTTTGGTTCTTATTTTATTTATTTCTTATTATCTTTTAAATTTTACTTTATGTCGAGGATACATGTGCAGAATGTACAGGTTTGTTACATAGGTATATGTGCCATGGTGGTTTGATGCACCTATCAACTCATCATCTAGGTTTTAAGCCCCGTATACATTAGGTTCTTACATTTATGTAAGTGTAAACAATCAGCAAGTGATTGGTAAATTGTCACGTCAGTGGCTGTGTGCCCTCAGATGAGATTTATTAATAAATCTTTCTGTTTTTACTGTTGTGTTGTGTTCAGGAGATTATCATGTTATGGCAAAATTGTAGTGAAACAAAAGCAGTAAATACCTTTGGGGACTTTATTCTTTTATAGAAGCAATTGTTAGAAAAAGTATCTTGCATTTTGGAATGTTAATATTATCCTTCCTTCTCTAACACACATACATACAGACAGACTCACTATTAAGGTGTTTGTTTGGTTTTTTTTTGAGACAGAGTCTTGCTCTGTCACCCAGGCGGGAGTGTAGTGGTGTGATCTTGGCTCACTGCAACCTCTGCCACCTGGTTCAAGAAATTCTTCTGCTGCAGCTTCCCAAGTAGCTGGCACTACAGGCACCCACCACCACGCCCGGCTAATTTTTTTGGTAGTTTTAATAGAGAGGGGTTTTCACTATGTTAGTCAGGCTGGTCTCGAACTCCTGACCTCATGATCTGCCCACTTCGGCCTCGCAAAGTGTTGGGATTACAGGCCTGAGCCACCACGCTCGGCCTATTAAGGTATTTTTATTAAGACTTGGAGGATTTATGTTTGGGGTTGATATAGTTTTAGGTTTATCTTTATGATTCTTATCTTACGTACTAATAAAAATCTCATCACATTTAATTCTGCCCTCAAAGGGCATAATTTGCTTCTTGCTTTTCTAGCATAGTATGTTAAATTATAAGGCTCTTTGCCCTTTTAACTATGTACTTCCTTCCTTAGGAATCAGAGAAGATCATTGCTGAGTTGAATGAAACCTGGGAAGAGAAGCTTCGTAAAACAGAGGCCATCAGAATGGAGAGGTCAGGCAGGGGGTTAAAATCTGGAAATGTTTCTAAGTTTTCTAGGGAATGTGGATTACTTTATAGTAAGAAAAGATAAAATAGAAATTAAAATCAAAGAATCTGCCCTTCTAAAACACAAAACAAAACAAAAAACATGGTCAGGGATTTATGGCCAGTTGAATTTATGCTTATAATATGTAATATGACTCCAGGGAGTCACGTGTTTAATAGTTGTCATACTGGCCGGGCGCGGTGGCTCAAGCCTGTAATCCCAGCACTTTGGGAGGCCGAGGCAGGTGGATCACAAGGTCAAGAGATCGAGACCATCCTGGTCAACATGGTGAAACCCCGTCTCTACTAAAAATACAAAAAAAATTAGCTGGGCATGGTGGCGCGTGCCTGTAATCCCAGCTACTCAGGAGGCTGAGGCAGGAGAATTGCCTGAACCCAGGAGGCGGAGGTTGCGGTGAGCCGAGATCGCGCCATTGCACTCCAGCCTGGGTAACAAGAGTGAAATTCTGTCTCAAAAAAAAAAAAAATAGTTGTCATACTACATGTTGCTAGGGATCCATAAAAAATGGAACATATGGCTGGGCATGGTGGCTCACGCCTGTAATCCCAGCACTTTGGGAGGCCAAGGCGGGTGGATCACAAGGTCAAGAGATCGAGACCATCCTGGTCAACATGGTGAAACCCCGTCTCTATTAAAAATAAAAAAATTAGCTGGGCATGGTGGCACGTGCCTGTAATCCCAGCTACTCAGGAGGCTGAGGCAGGAGAATTGCTTGAACGCAGGAGGCGGAGGTTGCGGTGAGCCGAGACCGCGCCATTGCACTCCAGCCTGGATAACAAGAGCGAAACTCCGTCTCAAAAAAAAAAAAGGAACATATTGGCCAGGCCTAGTGGCTCACACCTGTAATCCAAGCACTTTGAGAGGTCAAGGTGGGAGGAATGCTTGAGGCCAAGAGTTCAAGACCAGCCTGGGCAATATAGTGGGACCCCGTCTCTACAAAATATTCAGAAAATTAGGCCAGGTGCTGTAATCCCAGCACTTTGGGAGACCAAGGTGGGCGGATAATCTGAGGCCTGGAGTTCAAGACCAGTCTGGCCAACACTGGTAAAAACCCCCATCTCTACTAAAAATACAAAACTTAGCTGAATGTGGTGGCAGGCACCTGTAATCTTAGCTACTCAGGAGGCTGAGGCTGGAGAATCACTTGAACTCAGGAGGCAGACATTGCAGTGAGCTGAGATTGTGCCACTGCTCTCAAGCATGGGTGACAGAACAAGACTATTAAAAAAAAAAAAAAAAAAGTACCTCAGCATGATGATGGGTGCCTGTAATCCCAGGTACTCATGAGGCAAGAGAATTGGACCCAGGAAGCAGAGGTTACAGTGAGCCAAGATCATGGCACTGTACTACTCCAGCCTGGGTGACAGAGTGAAGCTCCATCTCAAATAAACAAAAAACAAAAATGTTAAAAAATAAGCTGGGTATGGTGGCTTATGCATGTAGTCCCAGCTGCTTTGGAGGCTGAGGCAGGAGGATTGCTTCAGCCCTGAAAGTCAAGGCTGTAGTGAGCTGTGAATTCACCTCTGCACTTTAACCTGGTGGACAGAGTAAGACCCTGTCTTAAAAATAATAATAAAAGGAAATAGGCCGGTCGTGGTAGCTCACACCTGTAATCCTAGCACTTTGGGAGGCCAAGGTGGGTGGATCACCTGAGGCCAGGAGTTCAAAACCAGCCTGGCCATCATGGTGAAACCCCATCTTAAAAAATAAATAAATAAATAAATAAAAGGAAATAGGAGCATATTGAGCGATAGAGTAGGCTTTTCTTGATAAAGGCTGACATCCAAATAGCTATTCTGATTATTGTCTTTCAAAGGTGCCTTCTCTAGACCTTCTTTCTTAAAGAGGTGAAGGAGTTTAGGTTGAAAACTTTTTTTTTTTTGAGATGGAGTCTCACTCTGTTGCCCAGGCTAGAATGCAAGAGCACAATCTTGGCTCACTACAACCTCCACCACCCAGGCTCAAGTGATTCTTCTGCCCCAGCCTCCTGAGTATTACAGGCATCTGGAATTACAGGCGCCTGCCACCACACCCAGCTAATTTTTGTATTTTTAGTAGAGATGGGGTTTCATTATGTTGGCCAAGCTGGTCTCGAGCACCTGACCTCAAGTGATCCACCTGCCTCAGCGTCCCAAAGTGCTGGCTTACAGGCATGAGCCACCACACCCAGCCTGGCTGCAAACTTTAAAAATCCCTTTTCTGTCCTAATATCTATGACTTCTCTACCCTGAAGGTGAGCACAACCCACCTTCTTTTGCTATTAGAATAGACTACATTTGAAAAAGCCAGTTTCTGTTTTTCTTCCTCATGAAGATGAGGCAGAAGTTACTAATAATTTAGTGATATAGTAAATGTAACAAACAGAATTTTGTTACTTATTACAGCAATTTTAAGCTAAATTATTGAAACAGGTGGGCAAGGGAACATAGCATTTGAGAAAATCACATTTATAGACTATACTCCACGTATCAAAATTACTTTCTGATTGCTTTCTTAGATTTTGAAGAAATGTTTCTTCAGGTTGAATTTATAACTTAAGGAATAGCCTCTTCTTTTTTAATATTAATATACATATTATGAATTATTGGCTGTCTCCAAAGTTGGTTGAGACAAAGTTCTTCTTTGAGTGAATATGACTAACAAAGCAAGATTTAATTTATTTTGAATGTGATGTTGCTTTTAGAAATAACTTCTCATTAATGATGAGATAAGCACATTATTTTACGTTTGCATTATTGACTTTAAATATGGCCAGTTGTTTTTGGTTTGCAGGCTTTATTTTCCAATCCTTATTAGACTGATTTAATTGACATTTTGGTGTTGGTATTCTGATATACCTGTTTTTTTCCCAGAGAGGCTTTGTTGGCTGAGATGGGAGTTGCCATTCGGGAAGATGGAGGAACCCTCGGGGTTTTCTCACCTAAAAAGGTAGGAAACAATGTTATGAAACCTAATCAGACAGAGACACTTTTTGTTTGTCTTTGTTACTGGGGCACTTCTTATCTTTCAGGACTTACCCTCTTCCCCCTTTTATGATCTTGATACTTGGCTTAATTTCAGATATTTCTGATTTCTTCTTAGAGTATGGTCTTGTAGTATAAAGGCAACCTATCTCTAAAATGCCTATCATGTTTACTATTTACAAAAGAAAAAACCTAAGGCAGTATATCTGTAACTTTTGGCCATGATTCAGTATGTTCAGTCATCTTTATTTGTTGCTTTCTCTTAATTCCCCAGCCTAACCTAGCGTATTTTGCCTCAGTTTTGGCTACTCTTTGATGTAGATTTTCTCACAGAAGTCATCTACCCTGCTTTATAACTTTTTGGAACCTATTTCAAGCTTGAAGTTCAGGTTTGTGTAGAATAATACTGCTTCCGTCTGCTTCTGCAATTTGTATTGTAGACATCCATTGTACTGAGTAAAGAAATTCCTGTCCCTATCCTTCTAGACTCCTCTGCTTCCTTCTTAGGTTGTTTTTAAATAAGTGACTCCAATAGTTACCTTCCTACTTATAGAACCATTAAGTAGTTAGGAACTTTTTTGCCTAATTAAAGTAGTATTGTTTTGTTTGTTTGTTTGTTTGCAAAATAACTTATTGTTGGATACTGGAAAATGATTATCAAATGGTAATTTTGTGTGCTTATGTATCAGAGAACAGGAGAACATATATTGATGTACAAAGCATGTATTTTATGCCACTAATAAGTGGTCCTTTATTTTAAGTGACCTCAGATTGGCTATTGGAGACTTAAACATCTTTATGCATAGGTTCTGATGATGGCCTCTATAAGTTAGGATACAAGGGGTGGTGAGTTTTGAATTGGTACTTTTATGTGATATGAAATATTCCTGTGGTTTTTGCTACAGTTATTCTGGTTAAATTTTTCTGTCCTGGTCATATAATTTTTTTTTTTCCAAATTCTAATGTGTTATTTTTAACAGCAAAGATTTATGTAAAGACATTTGCATATTGTAGAATAGAGCAATAAGTATTTTATATGTTTATGTTATGAAAGGTTAGTGTTTTTCAGTTTTAATAGTTGGTTTTTTTTTTTCAGTAAGACATATTTATTCAGACGTGTTACTTATGATTGTATAGATTTTAGCAGTTACAGTTTTGGTGGGTTTTTTTGTGTTTTTTGTGAGACCAAGTCTCTCTCTGTCACCGCGGCTGGAGTAGAGTGGTGTAATCTCAGCTCACTGCAACCTCCGCCTCCCAGGTTCAAGCGATTCTTCTGCCTCAGCCTCCCGAGTAGCTGGGACTACAGGTGCAAGCCACCATGCCCAGCTAATTTTTGTATTTTTAATAGATACGGGGTCTCACCATGTTGGCCAGGATGGTCTTGATCTCTTGACTTCATGATCTGCCCGCCTTGGCCTACCAAAGTGCTGGAATTACAGGCATGAGCCACCATGCCCAGCCGGAAAATTTTTACTGTAACAACTTGTCAAAATATGGCATTTAACATGAATCATAAATAACTTGAACAAGTGTTGAGATCTCAACTGCGTTGAATTCCAAAGTGAGATCTCTGTTTCCAAAGCTTTTTCTGTAATTTTACCCATCTTTCTACACTTCTTCATGAAAAGAAGAGTTATACCATGACCACATCCAAACTCAGTCTTAGGATTTGTTTCTGAGCTTCCATTTTTCAAATCATGATGTGCTTTAAAGAACACTACCCACAAAGGGCTTTGACGTTCTTAAACCAGTCAAGTTCTTTAACTACAAGGTGGATGCTAGTTGAGAAGATGTGGAGGTTTTTTCCAAATTTCTCTTTAACCATCTTTTATAGTCCCTTTTCTTACCCCCCTTATCTGACTCTTTTTTCATTCTTCCACACTTGCTGGCACTCTCTTGAGTAGATTTTGGCCCCAAGACCATGTGACTTATTTTTGGATTCCAGTGGGGTATTTTCACCAAAGAAGGTTGGTTTTTTTAAAAAAAGAATTTAGAAATACTAGAGTTAAATGAAGAGGATTGTTAGAGGACGTTTATATTATCGAATGTCAGTAATTTTAATTTTTTCTTTAAGGTAAAGACTAATAAACTAAAGGCAATAACTGGGACCATAGAATAACTGATAAAAATTACACTGCAAAGTGGCAGGGGGTGTATGGGGACATTAATTATTCCATTCAGCTAATTGGCCTGTCCTAATTTTTTCCTTGTGTTTTGACTTTATCGAAAATTGGCTCTTGTTTGTTTTATCCCAGAACTCATGTTTTAAAATAGAATGCCAGGTGAAGTGGCTCACATCTGTAATGCCAACACTTTGGGAGTCTGAGGAGGGTGGATCACTTGAGTTCAGGAGTTTGAGACCAGCCTAGCCAACATGGTGAACCCCTGTCTCCACTAAAAATACAAAAATTAGCCAGGTGTGGTGGCGGGCACCTGTAATTCCAGCTACTTGGAGGCGGAGACAGGAGAATCGCTTGAACCTGGGAGGTAGAGGTTGCAGTGAGCCAAGATCATGCCACTGCACTCCAGCCTGGGCGACAGAGCAAGACTCTGTCTCAAATCATTAATTAATTACATTTAATATAATAGAATGCGTTGGTTCAGTATGGGGATACCTGAAGAGAGTATTTTCTCTTTATTGTGGAACTGCAACTAGAGATAAAAGGAAATCCCTCTCTAAGCTCTGTGGATAGTTGAAGGAGCCTGGCCTCCTATAGGCCCCTGTTGTTACCACAGCTCTCTCATGGTGCCCTGCTCCAAATTGATCATCTGTAACCTTTTTCAGACCCCACATCTTGTTAACCTCAATGAAGACCCTCTAATGTCTGAGTGCCTGCTTTATTACATCAAAGATGGAATTACAAGGTACATTTCTTTCTTGTTTTGGTCACTTCATGTTTTTTTCCCCCCTCTTAGATAATTCAGTAACTAAAGAGGTGTTGAAAATTTTAATGTAATGATTTGCTGTATTTTTTGTCTGAAATAGTTAGAAACTATCCTCTTTTTCCAAATAATGTGTTTTTGCCAATGGAACCAGTTAACATGTAGTTTTTCTCTGAAGATCCTAAATAAATTTTTTTCCTTTAACAACTTACATACATTACTTAGGGATTTTATTTCACTCATGTCTTGTTATAATGCTGTATGAGTTACATTGGGTTTCAGTGTTCCTTATTTCTTATTCTGATATAGAGAAGTTGATCATATATGAGGATATAATTTGTAGTTGAAAGCTTCTGATGCAAAAAGGCAATACCTTTTTTGTACGTACCAAAGGATTTTCTTTGAGAGAAAGAGGTTCATTGTTTGTAGTGCTTTCTGTGTCTGAATTTCCCTGGGAAACACTTTCTCTTGTGTTCAGGGTTGGCCAGGCAGATGCTGAGCGGCGCCAGGACATAGTACTAAGCGGGGCTCACATTAAAGAAGAGCATTGTATCTTCCGGAGTGAGAGAAGCAACAGCGGTGAAGGTGAGCATCCTGGCTGGAGCTTCAACAACAACTTTTTCGTTTTATATTATAAGTCCTTAAGACTTTGTGTTCTCTATCAGTAGTACTTTCTTATACAACCTAATTCTGAAAAATGGAGAGACCTGGACTGCTTGTGAATGCAGAGATGGACAGGGCTACTTTACATGAAAATAGCTTGGACAAAAGAAGCCCTTTTATTACTGCCAAGAACTGAGCAGGATATAGGCAATTAGGCTTGGTCTTGAATGTTAATTATTTAATAGAAAAGTAAGAAAATAACAAATATCCTGGACAATAGGAGACTTGAAAGATATTAAGTCTTAACATAGTAGAATTAATTTTTATCTAAAAGGGAAGAAAAAGTCTTGATTTTTGCCTGGGTTATTAACAAAACAGCAACAATCTAATAATATTTTTGTGTTATATAGTTTACTCATTCCTTTATGAAAATACTGGCTTTTTGGCTGGGTGTGGTGGCTCATGCCTGTAATCCTAGCACTTTGGGAGACTGAGGCGGGCAGAGCACAAGGTCAGATGTTCGAGACCAGCCTGGGCAACATGGTGAAACCCCATCTCTACTAAAAATACAAAAAAATTAGCTGGGTGTGGTGGTGACCTACTCAGGCAGCTGAGGCAGGAGAATTGCCTTGTCCCCATGGAACCCGGGAGGCTGAGGTTGCAGTGAGCCAAGATTGCACCACTGCACTCCAGCCTGGGTGACAGAGTGAGACTCCATCTCAAAAAAAAAAAAAAAAGCTTTTCAATCTTAAGTTTCTGGTTATTACCTGTGTCTCATCCTTAACAATTTCTGACGGTTTTGAGTTGTATTGACTGAACTGTCAGAGATCGCCAAAACTAATATTTTCTGTCATCTTAGGTTAATCACATAGAGTTAAATGATAGCCTCTTCTGTTGGGACTAGTTCTAGTACCCCAAAGTGAACTACTGTATAGACACTTTAGCCACTTGATTGCAGGGATTTATTCTACTTACCACAAATCCTGATAAGCAACTGCTTTCCATTGTTTGATTCCAGTGGTTTGTGATAATAACATTTAGTTTGTGTTCCTCTTAGTTATTGTGACCTTAGAGCCCTGTGAGCGCTCAGAAACCTACGTAAATGGCAAGAGGGTGTCCCAGCCTGTTCAGCTGCGCTCAGGTGAGACTGGGAGAGGTTTGCCGTCTTCAGCAATGTGCACATGACTTGTGTGATAACTCTAATTTTTGGCTGTTTAAAGGCTGAAGTACTAGCATTAGGATTTTTGTTCTTATAAAAACAACGGCTCTGAAAGCTGTCTTCACATTAGGGAGGGTGAGTTTATTAAATAGATACTATATATTTAAAAAATTACTTCTTAACCTTATTTTTCTATTTTGGAAACCCTGTTTTTCTGTTTCTAGGAAACCGTATCATCATGGGTAAAAACCATGTTTTCCGTTTTAACCACCCGGAACAAGCACGAGCTGAACGAGAGAAGACTCCTTCTGCTGAGACCCCCTCTGAGCCTGTGGACTGGACATTTGCCCAGAGAGAGCTTCTGGAAAAACAAGGAATTGATATGAAACAAGAGATGGAGAAAAGGTAATGCGCAATTCCGCAGCCCACGTGACTATCTCTTCTTTTAAACACTTAACACTAATAGCATTTTCAAATAATAGTTCGGTGACTTCACAGTTTATTCTTTTTTGCTCTTTTTTTTTTTTTAACTTCTAGGCTACAGGAAATGGAGATCTTATACAAAAAGGAGAAGGAAGAAGCAGATCTTCTTTTGGAGCAGCAGAGACTGGTAGGAGTCCTGAATCCGCTAAACTGTTGGGAAAAGGGCAGCTTGCTCCCATGCTTTCCGTGTTCCACAGAGCACCACTCACCCAAAATGATACCAGCACTATTCTTTCATTTCCTTAATGGAGAATGAACTTAAATGTCCTGGTAGCCTTACCCTGAAAAATAGTCCATAGAGGTACTCTTTTGGGCTTTTTATGACTTAAAGCCAAATCTTTACTTCTATTACAACCAAATACTTTTTAAGGAAATAGAGCTTTTCTGGTAGCCTTTACCTCTTGATAGTGGTTTTGGAATTTGCATCAGTGATGGTTCTTTTAATGATAATTACTCTGAATATTGAATTGGTGGGAGTTTGCCTTGGTTTTGTTTCTGATCACTTGATAGTACTAATTCTCTGCTCTTGGGCTGACTTTGGGATTGTTCTTACGCTGGGCAGTTTTTTTTTTTTTGAAAGTTAAGCTGTGTCCAGATGTGTTGCTGCACAGTTGCATGTGTTACTCCTTTCCTGTTCCCCTGCATGGAGTCTGAATTCTCAACCAGGTTCTCAGTGGCATGTGTGGTAGTGGTCGGAGCAGAGGCTGCATACCCAGCACAGGCAGGACAGAAGGCCTGCTTCCTTTGAGGGAGGGAGGATTTGGGTGAGCAGCTAGAAAGTCTGTTTAAGGTCCCAGCTATTGATGTAATACTAATGGTTTCAGCATTTTATAATGGTAATGGATTTCCCAGATTTGATAGAAACTGAATCTCATGAATAAATAAGTTGATCCATTAGTTAGATTTTTTTAAAGCCAACCAATTTTGGTTAACAAAGCTGTGGTTATAAGACCTTCTCAGCATTCATTTGATATGTAAGAATAAAGTATAACTAACCTTTGGATACTGTGGATGCAGTTTAGGAAGTTCTCATTTTTTAAGATTCATTCGTATCTTTTATTTAAGATAAGGCTTCTTTCCTTAGTATAAAATACAGCATGTAAATTACAGTCTGATAGTCATGGTCTGTGTTTTGGAGAAGAAGGGGCTAGTGCTATATGGGCCAGAAAAGCGAAGGACTTGAGCAGAAGCAACCTTTTCCAGGGCACCTCATTCTCAGACATGGGCATGGATTAAACCAGTTAGTTTGTTATCTTGCAAATTCTAGTAAAACCCTAAAAAGAATGGATTGTAAGAATAAATCAAGGGTTTGGGGCAAGATAATAGTGTTACTGACAGAGGCGCTTTAGGAGGCCTTTTTAGCATTAAGTTTTTCATGAAAATGGAAAGTACTAGCTACAATGTGATTAGTGGCTTAAAAGGTTTGTGACACACAGAGAAATCTTTTATCTTAATAATGTAGTACATTCTAATAACATGCCTCTGATGGTCTGTGAGAGATCAAATGAGGACAGGTGTAATTAAGCTCTATTATTAACGATAATGCCTTGTATTTGTATAGTGCTTTATAATTTACAGAGAGCATTAACATCCTTCAATTTATTTGATCCTCAAAACAACCCTCTTTGGTAGGTGTATATATAAGTAAAATGTGTAATATTACCTCCAGTTTATAGTTGAGGAAACCAAAACTTGGCTGGGTGCGGTGGCTCACGCCTGTAATCCCAGCACTTTTGGGAAGCCAAGGTGAATGGATCACCTGAGGTCAGGTGTTAGAGACTAGCCTGGCGAACATGGTGAAACCCCATCTCTATCCCAGCTACTCAGGAGGCTGAAGCAGGAGAATCGCTTGAACCAGAGGTGGAGGTTGCAGTGAGCCGATACTGCGCCATTGCACTCCAGTCTGGGCAACAAGAGCATAACTCTGTCTCAAAAAAAAAAAAAAAAATTAGAAACTGATTGAGTAGGTCTGGGTTGGGACCCGAGCATGCATTTCCAACAAGCTTCTAGGTGATGCCAGTGATCCTGGACCTGGGACCTCACTTAGAGTAACTAGGCACGGCAGAATAAGGATGCCTGATGCTGTCCATAACCAAGAGTTGGTGATCATTATGTGCCCTAAAATAAAGATGGCCACTAAATAAAGAGAAAGTGAATGTCTGAGACATATTTAGTTTCTAGGTGACATACATAGCCTGCAGATAATCAGATTCTCATTGTTATTTGCTCTTTGTATGTGAAAGGAAGCCAGGATTTCTAGAGCAACTCCTTAAAGCAAGGAAGTTGCTTTCCTCTCAAAAGTCTGTCTGTTCCTCTTCCATTTCTTGACTTAAGGGAGGACCTGATTTCCAACACTTTAACCTGAAGAACATCTACTAGTAGTAATACTGAAAGGAAAATGTATTTTTATTATCCTGTATTGGTCAATTAACAGATATATTTGTAATGCACCCTGTGAATAAATATTGAGAGAATACAAAGCAATTATTACTCGGCAAATATTTATTTAATATTTACCATATGTAATCATTTTTTGCATACTCTAAGCATTAAACAATGGAATTCAAGCTCATGAGTTTTCTGATAGTTCCCAGATGCATCACATTATTACGGTGCTGAGCATTCCCTTCCAGTTAGTGCTCCGTGATACACCTGGTCCTATCTGTGCTTGCATTTTACACAGTTTTGGGATCTTCCCTCTTATTTGCATAAGTTCCTTGCAGAGTCTCTTTAGGAGACCTGCTTTGCATCTGGCATTTAATGAAAGCCGACGGATCATTTTGTGACATGTGAATTGACCAGACCTCAGTAGCTTTCCAGCTTCTTAGTGAATGAATCTAAATATTATAAAAATTCGGCCAGGCACAGTGGCTCACGCCTGTAATCCTAGCACTTTGGGAGGCCAAGGCAGAAAGATCACTTGAGGTCAGGAGTTGGAGACCAGCCTGGCCAACATAGTGAAACCTCGTCTCTACTAAAAATACAAAATTAGGCATTGTGGTACGTGCTTATGATCTCAGCTACTTGGGAGGCTGAGACAGGAGAATTGCTTGAACCTTGGAGGCGGAGGTTGCAGTGAGCCAAGATCAAGCCATTGCACTACAGCCTGGGTGATAAAGCGAGACTCTGTGTCAAAAAAAAAATAATAAAATAAATAAATAAACATTATAAAACATTATTTTTTTGACATGAAGATAGGATTTATATCACATAAACTTTGCATATAGTTTTTAGTATCACTGTCAATATTCGACAGGGTGACATGTTTGAACTATAAAGAAGACATATTCTACAGAGTCAAAATGGCAGTATTTTAAAAAGAAAGAAAATGATGGCTGCTTCATTTAACTTGAGTTGAGTTCTTTTGGATTTATGTAGACTCACATGTATTTTAGAATTTAAAGATAAATTTTGTCTCTCAAGCATGATATTAAAACAATGTTCAGAATACTTGTCATTTCCTGAATTAGGTAATATTCATTTCACTCTTAAGCAGTTTGGAGAGGAAAAGAAAAACAGCCAGAAAAAAGATGATAGTTGTTAGTCATGTGGGAAGAATCAAAGAGAATTTATTTATGTTCTGTAAAACTCAGTTTATACATGTTTGAAAAAAATCCTCTTCAGGAGTCAGACAAACTTTTTCCTCTAATATTTATTAATGTCATCTTTATCACTTAAAATTAACCATTCTCATTTTTAAAACTAAAAATGAAAAATCAGTATAGAATATGTATAAATTTAGCTTTACTGCTTTTTCAACTTTTTTCCCTTTTTTTAAACATCTGTTACAGCAAGCTTTTTTTTTCTCTATTCTTTTTTTTTTCCTTTTTTTTAATCAAGAAATGCTGAGTGTATGATAGAATACAGCAAGCTTTACTGCTTTTTGTTGCTAAGTTATCAAATACATGAGAGTTATAATGGGCACAGTACTCATTTGTAGGTCAATAGAACTATATAAATCAGTGGCAACAGTTTGAAATTCAGAGGCCAAATTATTATGATTATTGTTGAAAGTTACTTTTTGGTTCCTTAGAAAGTGGCTATCCAGGCAAATCTTTAGTTTAGTTTAACCAGATGTGGTGATGTGTGCCTGTAGTCCCAGCAAAGGCAGGAGGATCACTTGAGTTCAGGTATTTGAGACCAGTTTGGGTCCCTGTCTCAAAAAACAAAGCAAGCAAACAAAAACGACAACAAACTTTGGTCTAGAAGGCAAGGTACTATTTGTCAGTTCCAGTTCCTTTAAAAAGCAAACAAACCCCTCTAGAAATATTTTTTGTAACCACAGTGAGTAAAAAGAGACTGTTAAGTAACGATATATTGTCGTTTACTAGACTATCTTAAACTACTCATCTATGAGTTGAGTTTTGTTGTTTTTTTAAGTGAAAGCAAGTTTATTTAAAAAGTAAAGAAATAGGCTGGGTGTGGTGGCTCATGCCTGTAATCCCGCACTTGGGGAGGCTGAGGCGGGTGGATCACCTGAGGTCAGTCACCTCAGCCAGGCCAACATGGTGAAACCCTGTCTCTACTAAAAATAAAAAAATTAACTGGATGTGATGGCAGGTACCTGTAATCCCAACTACTTGGGGAGCTGAGGCAGGAGAATCTCTTCAACCCAGGAGGCGGAGGTTGCAGTGAGCTGAGATTGCACCACTGCATTCCAGCCTGGGCAACAGAGCAAGAGTCTTTTTTTTTTTTTAAAAAAAAAAAGCAAAGGAATAAAAAGTGGTTACCCCAGAGGCAGAGCAGCCAAGTATTTTCTTTTCCCAGTAATTTTTATCTCTTGAATATAACTTCTTTCTAATCCCACTTATTATTTGGAATTCTAAATTCAACATTGCTTTCATAGGGATTCATGTTGTCAAATTTTGCTTGTATTAGTTAAGAACTATTGGTTCTTATCCAAACAGCCCTTGAAATTACATTGTTGTGAAGTCAGGCTGCTGATTTAGGGCTAAGTAAGGTTTTTTGAAAAAGAGGGAAGGGTGCAAAGACACCTGGAAAGACGGTTAAAGATACCTTTTAAAGTGGATCAGTTTTATGTGACCAGAGTATAATCTTTGTGTTTTATGTGTTTATTGAAAGAGTTGTCACTTAAAGTGATATTCTTCAAATAGCTAAAAATGTCCTAGGTTTTCTAGATAGAAAACATCTCTAAGTTGTACTTACTAAAATATGACTTGGGGAATTTTAAATTATATTCGGGAAGTATATTTGCCCAGCTTAATTTTTGTTGGTAATTTATTTCTCAAAATTTTGGAGGTGAGATATTTATTGATTTGTATGTGTGAAAAACAAAACACACCCACTATGAGGATCTTTAAAAAAAAATGCTTCCTTGTTATCCAGATAACAAACTTTAATTGTACAATTAAAATGGATACATTTAACATGACAAAAAAGTAGCAAATCCTCTGCTGATGGAAAGATGATTTTCAAACCCTCTTGTCTTACAGAAAAATACCATTTGATTGATTAAGAACTTACATGGTCTGCTCATATGGATTTTTAGCGTTTTTAACATCATCCCTGTTTGATTGCTTCTTTTTCTACATTCTCATCTTCTAACTTTTTTCTAGGGCTGCTCTTTTTAGTAAAGCTAAACAAAACTTGGCGTCCTACAGCCTTACTAACCTTTGTTAATCCGCCTGCTCGTCACATCTTTCTATGGCATCTGTGCTCACTCATGGGGGAAAGAGATTCTGGAAGAAGCAACAGCAATAACCAAGGCAAATGTGGGGGAAGTGTCTGCATGAGTTGTTAGCATGATGTGTGGGGCCTAGGTTTTACTTCATTTTCTTTAGATAGTGGGATTGTTAAGTCATGCCATTTGAATAATCTTGTGTGACCATAGGGTGAGAGACTCATCCCTGTTGTCAATCCTTCTAAGAAATTTGGTGGCAAATTTCATCACTTAAGCCGGAAAGTGGAAATTTGGATTAGGGACACCAAATAAACATATCTTTATATTAATAGAAATGTACATAGGTATATATCTTAATAGATTTCCACATTGAGGGGTGTTTTTTTTTGTTTTGTTTTTTAGTCTTTTTGGTTATATTTTTAAATTTGGTTAAGGCTTTTTTGCTTGCTTTTTTTAAAATTTAATTTTCCTTTTTTACATTTTAATTTTGGTTATTTTGGGGCCATTTTTTGATTTTGTTTTTCCAAAGGACGCGGATTCTGATAGCGGGGACGATTCTGACAAGAGGTCGTGTGAAGAGAGCTGGAAACTGATTACTTCTCTGAGAGAAAAGCTACCTCCCAGCAAGTTGCAAACCATTGTTAAAAAATGTGGCCTCCCCAGCAGTGGGAAGAAACGAGAACCAATTAAAATGTATCAGATACCCCAAAGAAGGCGCTTGAGTAAAGATTCCAAGTGGGTCACGATCTCAGATCTTAAAATTCAGGCTGTCAAAGAGATTTGCTATGAGGTTGCTCTCAACGACTTCAGGCACAGTCGACAGGAGATTGAAGCCCTGGCCATTGTCAAGATGAAGGAGCTTTGTGCCATGTATGGCAAGAAAGACCCCAATGAGCGGGACTCCTGGAGGGCAGTGGCCAGGGATGTCTGGGATACTGTTGGTGTTGGGGATGAGAAGATCGAAGACGTCATGGCCACTGGGAAAGGCAGCACTGATGTAGATGACCTCAAGGTTCATATAGACAAACTGGAAGATATTTTGCAAGAAGTCAAAAAGCAAAATAACATGAAAGATGAGGAGATAAAAGTCTTAAGAAATAAAATGCTCAAAATGGAGAAAGTCTTGCCACTGATTGGATCTCAGGAACAGAAAAGCCCAGGAAGCCTCAAAGCCAAGGAGCCTATTGGTGCTGGTGTTAGTAGCACCTCTGACAATAATGTAAGTAAAGGAGATAGTGGAGAACTTGCAAAAGAAGAACGTGTTTCCCAGCTGATGAATGGGGATCCAGCTTTTAGACGTGGACGTCTGCGCTGGATGAGGCAAGAGCAAATTCGGTTTAAGAACTTGCAACAGCAGGAGATAACGAAGCAGCTTCGTCGGCAGAATGTACCTCATAGGTTCATCCCTCCTGAGAACCGGAAGCCCCGCTTCCCCTTTAAGAGCAACCCTAAACACAGAAACTCGTGGAGTCCTGGTACACATATCATCATAACAGAAGATGAGGTTATAGAGCTTAGAATTCCAAAAGATGATGAAGCAAGGAAAGGGAATAAAGAAGAGAGCCAAGAAAAAGGGGGTAAAGGAGCTTTTAAGGATCCCCAGTTACCATGGGGCTCTCAAGGAATGAGAAGTCAAGATCATATCCAAGTTAGCAAGCAGCATGTTAATAATCAGCAACAGTCACCTCAACTACGTTGGAGAAGCAATTCTCTCAATAATGGCCAGCCGAAAAGTACGCGCTGCCAGGCATCTGCCTCCGTGGAGTCATTAAACTCCCACAGTGGCCACTCCACTGCTGATGTGCAGACTTTCCAGGCAAAGCGCCATATTCATCAACACCGTCAGTCTTACTGTAATTATAACACTGGAGGTCAGTTAGAGGGCAGTGCAGCCACTTCCTATCAGAAGCCGACTGACAAACCCAGCCACTGTAGCCAGTTTGTGACACCTCCGCGGATGAGGAGACAGTTCTCAGCACCCAATCTCAAAGCTGGTCGAGAAACCACAGTATAAATCAGTTACTGGACAAACTTGAAATCATGGTGGAAGAATCAGACCGTATTAGCTCATGATTTGATTTGGTTCTACCTTTGACCTTGAGTTCTTATTATTTACATTATAAATATTAACTGGTTTTATATTGTTAAAACACTGGTAAAAGTTTCAACACCTCCCTTTTGCTTGTATACCATAAATGGGCAGTTTCTGAAATTTTGGATAAAGCATCAAGAACTCCTTTTTCTGAAACGTTCCTCCTTTTTTGGTGCCTAGAAAATTAATATACTTACACAGACTTGTCCCATCTTGGTATACATTTGTTATGTTTTTATAATGCCTATAAATTAACCTGACATCCAGAAAGACCTGCCTCTTAGTTTATACTTTCAAAAGGAGAATTTGATAAGCAAATTTAAGTGTCCGTTATTCTCCTAAATGTTAGAAATTGGTTTAAAAATGACATGCAACTGTGTGGACACAGCTTTGGGTTTCTCATTCATGTCTGTTCCCTTATTTAAATACAATTAGAATCTTCATAAGCCAAAACTAAAGGTCTTCAAACATATCTTCAAACATTATACATAGCTTTTCATCTTCCTCAGAACTTCCACATCTTCTTTTATTCTCTACTTTTCAAAAAAACTCATATAATAGTTTTTTTCTTTTCAATGTATCAGAATATGTATGAAATTTGTCATACCAGAATCTGTAAATTGACACTGTGTCTGGGATTCTGTTTGTGGTTTGTGTTTTGAAGTTCAGTGTGTCATTTGACACATATGCACACAAAGTGAATTATTCACCGAAATCATGCCAACAGAAATACCAGCAAAAAACTTGCATACATGCTTTCAGCAGTGTATATAAGTTTGTAAGGAGGATATTTGGCCTGAGAGGGAAGAGGTGGGACGTGAGGACAAAGCTACAGCGTATGTCTCTGTGGTGCTGCTTTTTTCCAATAGTTGATGAAACAGTGAAATAAAAGTTAACTTTGGTTGGGTTTGGAATAAAGGAGATGATACGTGATAAACTATTCTTTGATTAGCAGTAGTAATGCTCGTAGACACTCAGACAAGAAGGCGAAGTCCTGATGAACATTTATTGTGTCAATACCTCATTTTATTTGGTTATGATCTCAGTTTGCCTCACTGGAAAATCCACTATGAAAGATGGGTTTTAATGGAAAGAAAAGAATCATCTTCTACATCGTTCCTTATCTCTTGAGTTGTCAAAAACGTTTCTAAGAGGCAGTCTGAAGAGCCAGAGATGTCTGAAATTGCCTAACTTCGTGTTCTGGAAGATTACTAAGTCACATGAAATCATCTAGCAAACATTTGTCTTCCAAATGATGAGAAAAACTACAACCAAGATAGCAGTTAGCATTCAAGGAAGCCTTAAAAATTGTGATTATGTTTTTTTTTTTTTTCCTTTGCATGTGGGCACTATGCTTTATTAGAACACATTATTTTTAATCATAGTATTTTTTCTTTGCCTCTAAAAAATACTTAATGCACAGAAAGTTGCTTCCAGTTAACTTTTTTTTTTTCCCTTAAAAAGAGAAGCTTTGAGAGGTATTTTTGCTTTCATAGCTAGAACAGTTGAAGTCTTCAACTGAGGTTTTATGGCAGATTAGACATGGGTAAATGATGTCTGTAGTGGGTTGACTTACCGAGATGACAATCTCCTGTGCCATTTGGTTTGAATGTACTTGATAGGCTGCTTCAAATCAGTCACTTCAATGCGTCTTGTATAAACCCAGTTGACCTTTTTGTTCCTCTTTAGACATAAATGTGCTATTTCTTTCTAGACACAATTTATTTAGTAAAGTTAAAAATAGTCATTCCTAGGTGTGGTGGCACACACCTACAGCCCCCAGCTACTCAGGAGGCTGAAGTAGGAGGATCACTAGAGTCCAGGAGTTCTGGGCTGTGGTGCGCTATGCCAGTTGGGTGTCCGCACTAAGTTGGCATCAATATGGTGATCTCCCTGAAGCGGAAAACCACAAGGTTGCCTAAGGAGGGGTGAACCCATCCCAGGTCGGAAATGGAGCAGGCCAAAACTCCGAGGCTGATCAGTAATGGGATCTTGCCTATGAATAACCAGTGCACTGCAGCCTGGGTGACAGAGTGATAACCCGTGTGTGTTTTTTTTTTAAGATAATATTTATTATATTATTTGGGTTTCAACTCTGTAGCAAAAATGGGCTCTCATTTCCCTAACTTGAGATAACATAGAGTAGGACCATATATTTTCATTCTTACAGTGGTCTTTTAATCTTGTTATGGACAGATACCCTTGTTTTCCACTAAACCGTGGGAGTGAATGAGTTACTTTCCACTGGTGATTAGGTAACACTGTAGAGTCTGACAGTGGTTCACACCTGTAATCCCAGCACTTTGGGAGGCCGGGGTGGATGGATCATGAAGTCAGGAGTTTGAGACCAGCCTGCAATATGGTGAAACCCAGTCTCTACTAAAAGTACAAAAAAACTAGCCAGGCGTGGTGATGTGTGCTTGTAATCCAGCTACTCAGGAGGCTGAGGCAGGAGAATCGCTTGAACCCGGGAGGCGGAGGTTGCATTGAACGGAGATTGCGCCACAACTCTCCAGCCTGGGCAATAGAGGGAGACTCTGTTTCAAGAAAACAAAACAAAACAAAACAAAACACTGCAGAATGAAGAGTTATGTAATATTTTCATTTACAACTGTGGATTATGGTAAGGACTATGTCCACAGTGTTATTCCAAAGAATTGGGTTTATATTTGTGCCTCATCTACTAATCCCAGGTATCCTCATGTTGCTGAAATGTTGTTTAGATAGCTAAAGGATCCCTTAATTTCATAGATGACCAGGAATAAATTAACCAAGGTTTTTTGGACTGCTATCTATGCCCCATGATGCATTTCTGAGCAAATGCTTATCCTAGAAAATAACTTTGTATGAATAAAATTGCTTAATTGAATCTTTTACTGAATAAGTAACTAGTGCCGTCCTTTTGTGAACTCTTGGTATGGCACATATTACTTTTTTGTTTGTTTGTTTGTTATTGTTGCTGTTTTGTGACAGAGTCTTGCTCTGTTGCCCAAGCTGGATTACAGTGGTGTGATCTTGGCTGACTGCAACCTCTGCCTCCTGGGTTCAAGCAATTACCCTGTTTCAGCCTTCTGAGTAGCTGGGATTACAGGTGCATGCTACCATGCCTGGGTAGCTTTTGTATTTTTAGTAGAGATGGGGTTTCACCATGTTGGTTGATGTGAGCCACTGTGCCCGGCCTGTTTGTTTTTTTGTTAATTCTTTTTTTTTTTTTTTTGAGACGGAGTTTTGCTCTTGTTACCCAGGCTGGAGTACAATGGCGCAATCTCGGCTCACCGCAACCTCTGCCTCCTGGATTCAGGCAATTCTCCTGCCTCAGCCTCCTGAGCAGCTGGGATTACAGGCATGCACCACCATGCCCAGCTGATTTTTTGTATTTTTAGTAGAGATGGGGTTTCACCATGTTGACCAGGATGGTCTCGATCTCTTGACCTCGTGATCCACCCACCTCGGCCTCCCAAAGTACTGGGATTACAGGCGTGAGCCACCGCACCTGGCCTGTTTGTTTTTTTAATGTGATTTCTCTCTAAGCTTAAATACCACAAGACCAAAGAGAAATGGTCATAATTAAACCATTATTGTTGAGGTAGCCCTAGCTATTATTATAGCGGGAGAAAGTGTTTGTGCTATTGAAGTTATGTGATGATCTGACAGTGGTAATATGGAAGAGTCCTAATTAATTGGTATAGTTTCATAAACCAGAATGGTATTCATTGGAAAGTTAAAGACATTTTGTTTAATAAATCCAAACCAAAGGGCATTTTATTTATTCCTGCTTCTAATTCCTTCTAGCCCAGTGAATTATTTCTCTTTTCATTAGTAATGTGGTGAATGGGAATTGTTTATTACATTGAAGTGATTTGAAGTGACCTTTTGTGCTTTAGGTACAGGTTGACGCTGAAAAACAAAACAAAACACTGAATTTGTCATACCTATGTCTGCATTAAAGGCTGTTTTACTACAGGAAGTTACATAGACTTCCTGAAGTTAGCTGCTGTGTCCCAGTGCCTTATTGGTCCATTGTAGACTCGCCTTAATGATTTGTATAAATCACTGGGCGGAGGAGATGCTGCCTGTGTCCTGGTGTACCTTAACGGAGGAGCCTTCTTAGGTGCAGTGCAAAACAAGCATTTGTTCTGTACTATTAGAGCCAAAATTGTGATAAGTGACACTCGTAATTGTCCAGTTTGTGTCATCTTTTTCAGATTTTAATACCTGTTCTAGATATTCTTAGCTTGAACCACTTTTGATTGTGAAATGTATTAGTTGTTGTCCCATTATTACTGTAAAATGAAATTTTGAATCTTCTTGTTAATGAACTGTGGATTTCCCCCTCAATTTCTTAAACAACAAAAAATGCTTGAAGATTGTCTTTGAGTGTAAGATCTGCCTTTTAAGAAAGGGAGTGTTAGTTTGTAATGTTAAAAAATAAAGACCTCATTCAATAAAAGTTGAAGTCATCTTTTAAAAGTGTGATTTCTCTCTATGTGGGAAGAGGGAAAAGGAAAGCAAGGTAATGCTAACTAAACCTAGTTTTTGACTTTTATTTATTGCTTTTCCATCTGAAGATGATTGTAAATCAAATCTTTTTAAAAAATATTTCTACGTGAACTTAGTTTTAAAGCTTTTGCTTTAGCTACATATTTCTGTTTAACAAAATTCTACCTTAAATGGGATCTTTCAGCCTTATTTTATGCCACATTTCACTTACATAAAATATTTTCTCACAAAAGATAAATAAGGAGATCACTTTCTGATCTGAGTTTACTTTAACCGTGTTCTCAGTTTTTTCTTTACATAGTCTTGATTTGAATTCTTTTAAATGAAATGATTTATTTCCCTCATATAATATAGGTAGACACTAAATTTCTGAAAAGTTTTGAGTGACTCTGCAGCTTTTCTTTCTCCTTTAATGTCTGCCTTTTTTCACCCAGAATATCAGTGGTACACTAGAGAGGAAACAGAACAAAGCAGAATATTTTTCTGGAGTGGACCAGTAGTCTCAATGAAAATTTGAACCTGACATTATTTTTTAATACTTAAAAACAACATAATCATGTATCATAGGGTAAAATACAAAATCTCCATGAGTTTTTAAATATGAAATCTGGAATCGGTCTGCTTCTGGCCTGATACGATTTTTCTTCAGGTACTTTGTATTCCTCTGCTGTTGGAGAAACTAATGGAAAAGTTGCAATGTCCCTACTATTTATAGGGTGACACAGAATATTAGTGTGATATGTGCAGTAACATTGTGCTGATGAGACTGTGCCCACACAGTGCTGCTGGTAGTGAGGAGCAAAGTTAACTGGGGTATCATCTTGGGTGTGGATATTTTCCTTCCAGCTATTGCTTGCTAATTATAATCTGCCATTAGGAGCCAAGCGTCTAATGTCAAAAACAGCCTAACAGGAAAACTCAGAATGGTGATATTGATTTTACCTTAAATATCACCACCTCAGAGGTGCCCTACTTGTGCCACCATCATCTTTCATTGAGAGTACTGAAGTACCGTAACTTGTCTCTTTGCTTCTATTCTTGACTCCTGTAACCATTGTCCACATAGCAACCAACATCATCTTTTAAAAATATAAATCATGTCTTGTCAGTAGCCTCAGGTGCTTTGCATTGCATTTAAGATTCTGAGTCTTACTTTAGTCTCCAAGGCTTTACGTGTTTTGGCTGCTTGGCCCCCACTCTTAACGCTTTCACTCTCACACTGCACTCTGGCCTTTTGTTCCTTGTACATGGCAAATTTCTTCCCACCTCTGGGCTCTTGCACTTCTCAAGCCTGGAGCCCATTTCTATCATGCTTCCCTCCCCTTCCAGACCTGAGCTCCTGAGCTCTTTCTGCCTAGCCCACCACAGGTTGACTCACTGTTTCAATAATGATAGCCTGTAATTATCTTTTCTTTGTACTTGTTTGGTTCTTCCATGAGAACATAAACTCACCTAGAATAAATGCCATATCTGTCTCGTTCATTTTTGCCAGTCATATGAATCCATTACCTGGAAAAGTGGTTCTCAAACTGTAATGTCCATTAAAATTTTGGGGGTCTTATGAGAACTCACACTATTGGGCCCACCTCTAGAGTTTCTGATTCACTAGGGCTGGGGCAAGACCTTATAAATTTGCATATCTGATAAATTCCCAGGTGATACTGATGCTGCTGGTCCAGTAACCACCTTTGATAACCAGTGATCTGGAATGAGGGATTGATCAGTATTTTCTGTAAAAGGCTAGATAGTAAATATTTTAGGCTTTGTGGACCATGTAGTCTTTTTTGTGAAACTGTTCAACTCTGTTGCAGTAGGAAAGCAGCCAGAGACAATATGGAAATGAACAAGGGTGGCCGTGTTCCAGTCAAACTGTGTTTATAAAAACGGGCAGTGGACTGGATCTAGCCCAAAGGCCATAGTTTGCTGACCCCTGATCTAGAAGATAGCTACTTCTGATAAATATTTATCTAAAAGATCAGTATATGACTGTGTATGTGATCTGGAAGACAGATACATGCCAGTTGCTGGGATAAGTGGTAAGTGACAAATGTGTGGTCCTGGGCTCATGAAATTCTCAGAGTTACAGAGGGAGACAACTTTAGTAACCACACCAGTAGTGATTCAGTACATTGTGACAAGTGCCATGATGAAAAAATACAAGGTACTCTGAAAGGTTTTAAGGTAGCCTCTCATTGCTCTTAGCTGATGATGTTTTTGTTTCACTGAAGAAAAAAGAAGCAATCAGAAGAAATTTCCTTCTAGACAAAGGGATTTTGTCTAGTTTTGCCTGAATGATCCATCCATAGCTATACTGAGCTTTCCTTCCTATTAGTGGATGAACTGTCCTTAATCCTCTCCCAGCCCAGCCCGTGTTCCCTGCATTCCATACCCTCTCAAGAACTTGCTGTAGGTTTACCCTCTTCCCTTTTGCATCATCAGTTTTTCTCCTTCTGGATTATTCCTGCCAGCATGCACACATGTCACCAGTTGTAAAAGGTTTTTTTTGTTTTTTTTTTTTTTGAGATGGAGTCTCACTCTGTCACGC